CATGGTGGAAGCAACCACCGGGTGGCTGGAAACATATGCTGTGCCCCATGCCACTGCCCGGAACACTATCCTGGGCCTTGAGCATGGCACTGAGTGGGTATATCACATCTCCTACCACACACCAGCCTCTGGGAAAATCGAACGGTACAATGGGCTCTTAAAAACTACGCTGAGAGCAATGGGTGGGGGAACTTTCAAGCACTGGGATGCACGCTTACCAAAGGTCACCTGGTTGGTCAACACCAGAGGATCTGCCAACAGGGCTGGCCCAGCTCAGTCAGAACTTTTACATATTGTAGAGGGGGACAAAGTTCCCGTGGTGCATTATGAAGAATTTGCTGGGGAAGACAGTCTGGGTTATTCCAGCAGCTTCAGGTAAAGGCAAACCCACTCGTGGGATTGCTTTTGCTCAGGGACCTGGATATACTTGGTGGGTAATGAGGGAAGATGGGGAAGTCCGATGTATACCTCAAGGGGATTTGATTTTAGGGGAAAACAGCCAATGAACTTAACTGTATGCTGTTGCCTGCTGTGTAATACTTTTGTAGCCCATCAATTAGATGTCTCCAGGTCACCAGCGACTAGCCCTGACTTCCCTCCAACCATCATCCCAACAGAGAATGAACTTCGATAGAACCAGATGAGCTCCGCAGTAAAGGAACGACCAGCATCAGCAAGCAACGATCCAATACTGCACACAGCCTTTCCTGCCCTGAAAGATTGTTACAAGAAATGGAACCTGACATCATGGACCGAATGGACTCAGCAGCATTATAGGGATTGGTCCATGCACTAAGAAAATGATCTCTTTCTCTTGGTCTGTGGGTATATGGATGTATATATGTGGGAGAGCAATGGTGTATTGAAAATGTGGGATCTGAGCATGACATGAATGGTACGGAATAAGGGGTGGATAATGTCCTGGGTTCAGCAGTAGCAGTCAAGTTTCTCCTTCGTGGTAGCTGGTGCAGTGCTGTGTTTTGACTTCCAGCCTGGGAACAGTGCTGGTGATACCGATGTTTTCAGTTGCTGCTAAGGGATGTTTACCCTAACCAAGCACTCTTTCAATCCTCCTCCCTGTTCTTCTGGGAGTGGGGAACGGGAGAGGCGGGGGGGGGGGGGCTCGATTGCTCTCAGCCCGGCACCACTCACTGGGAGTGAGTGAACAAGCTGTCTGGCTAGGGTTTAAACCACAACAGCATGGAAGCAGATGCTAGACTGATAAAAATAGGTCACTGGTTTAATACTTTAAAATAATTATTAAATATTATTTTTACGCTTCGCATTATTTACTGTGAAATACTTATTATTCTATTTAGTTAGCATTTACTTTGCTCATACAATAGGCATTTCCACCAAAAGTCCAGACAGCAGTAGAGTTAGTGCTGTTAATAAAAAAAAAAAAAAAAAAGAACCACAACAAAAAAAAACACCAAAAACCATTATTTTGCATAAATCTGTAGGGGCTGGGTGCAGAAAGCTTACAAGAGTATCATGTACAGTTCTTCATTATGTCCACGCTAACTTATGTCAAATGTTGTCATATAAACATGTCCATTTGAAGAGCATCAGTATTATTATTACCAAGCGCTATTTTTTTTGTTGAAAAATAAAAAAATATCAGGATATTGCTAATATCCATACTCAGCCTCGGCAAGAATAGTGCTTCTTCTGCTTAGCTTTCCATCAAATAGACACACAAGTGTCCAACTGGAGTCTCAATTACTTAAACCTGATAGAAACATCTAACGGCAGCTAAGATTTAAGTCAATTACCCTATCAATTGAACACGTGAAAGCATATGTAGCCTCCTAAAAGAAATTTGTGTTCCCTAACATTTTCACACTGCCTATCAAACTGCTGTCAAAACAGCATAAACACACCATAATATTCTCATCTTCACCTGCAGCAAACATCAGAAAGAAAAGTAACTCACCTGTACCACGTGTTTCTGAATCTCTACTAAGCAATCCAAAATGCTTTTCTGTCAACACCCTGACACATCCAACAGAACTTTTTCCTACCTTGATACTAACATACTTTAGACACGCTAAGTCTGCCCTAGAGGTTTAAAGTGATATATTCTGCTCCTGAATTTTTCTTTACAACTGAAATGCACAGTTTAATCATTAACAGATTTAGCAGAGGTACATGGGAATACTGCCAGTATGTGAGATTTGTACTCTTCGTGTAGTTCAGGCATCTTCCTGTAGATGACGTAATACTTACCGGAGAAAGACTCAGAGGTACAGAAGTCCCACATATTTAATCCAGCACAAACCTACAGCATTACTGTGTGTCTTCCACACACAGTTGCTTCCGTCCTGCTCTCTTTCAGTAGTGAACTGGGTCAGACAGCTTCTCCCAGATCAGCTCCCTAATCTGATTCACCATGCACCAGATAAAAGAAAGTGCCAGCATAACAGATAAGAAAGGAGTAAATGCCCAGGAAGCAAAGGCAAAAATAGACCCATCTCTTTAAACTGCCATAAATCCGTATTTCTGCTGTTCATAGCCCCACAGCATCTAGTAATCCTCCCTTCTATCTTTTTAAATTCAGTGTTTTAACCTGAAATATGTACAATATAAATACTGTTGAAAAATAATTTCTGTAACTGAGAACATGTTTAACTGTCAACACAAATGGAAACTGCCTTCAACAGGAATGAAATCATGTTTGTTGCTTTCATCTTCATGCATTTTTTTAAATAAAATTTCTATGTAAAATGTGTTTCACTCTGGAGAACTCTTCTGGACTCCAGAAGCTTTGTAATTTGTGTTTCAAAACTCCCTGCAAGATTGTACAACCTGAGCTATTCATTGACACCTTAAAGAAGCCAACTAAACCCACACCCATGAACTTCTTAAATATTGTTTAAAATGTATGGAAAGACTGTCCTTTATGAGACTGCAGAAGTTTTAAACTTAACATTAAGCAGTTTTGGAATTGTTTATAACCAACAACATTCCTAAACAATCACACGGCTTGTTATGCTGCAGAAAAGTATTATATGACTCATATGACAGTTTTGTGTCTTTGCTTTTTCTCAGACAATAGTTTGTAGTAACACAAAACAAACAAATAAAAATCAGAGCAGCATACTTAAATGTACCCTGCATACTGGATACTTGTGATTAAAACTGTTTTGAAACATTCCTTTTCTGACCAGCACATTATGTCATTATGGTTGTTCAGGGGGTTGTATTTAACTAAGAAAAGCAAGAAGAGAAAACTTGATTTTTATACATATGAAATGCTTGCCTTTCCTCTCTTTTGGCTCATCCTCCATTAGCCTCCACCAGTCTCTTCACACAATATTCATTACAAATCAGTGGTCATTACCAAAATTGCTTCTGTGTACAAAACAAAATAGCCCCATCTCTTTAAGCAGTATGGACTTATGGCAGCTTACATTTAGTGATACAGTTTTCATAATACAATCTCTCTGGATAAATTGTCCATTAGTGAGCCACAGCATTATGCTTAAACTGCCAAATTAGTTTTATATTAAAATACCTCACTAAGGTCAATGCAAATCTTCACACATGCATAACAGAATACATCAGGGTGTCTGTAGACTCAAACTTTAGTAAATCAGTTGACATTATTCATATTTAGGAGTTAACTCTGCAAACACTAAGATATGGTAAAAAGCACTTAAAGCAAGCTCATAATTCCCTGCATAATGCTTAACACCTGTAAAAACAACACAGTGTGTGCACCTGCGGCACCTCTGTAAGGTAATGCACCTTAATAACTACAGGCAGAGAAACCAGATGTTTTGCCACAGGAAAAGTAATTGAGTTCCTAAAAGCCAAAATAGCACAATGATGAAAGTCAAGGCAACGAAATACAAGAAAGCTCTGAAAGAAAGTACCTAAGGACAAAGTCCTGCAATCTCAGTTATTACACAAAATGAACAGCAATCCCCCTCCTTGTCTGAAAATGAATGACACTCAAGTGTTTACTACACAGAATTATTAAAAAATTGAAACCCAAACGCTGTTACAATCACTAGTATGTTACAATCACAAGTCATCATACACACTTGTTTTGGATAAGCCTTCCAGGAAACATCCATAAAGATTATGTAGGAGGTTTTCATAAGATATGCTGGGGTCACAAACCGAGCAGAGAAATAACTAGCTGTCCTGGGTTCAGCAGCGGCAGTCATTTTTTTCCTTCTCAGTAGCTGGCAGTGCTGTGGTTTTCACTTTCAGCATAGGAACACCACTGATAACACCAACGGTTTTAGTTGTTGCTAAGTAATGCCTACTCTGACCAAGGACTTCCCTGAGTCTCGTGCTCTGCCAGGGAGGAGGGGAAGCCATAAGGAAGTGGAGGCAGGACACCTGACCCAAACTAGCCAAAGAGGTATTCCATGCCACAGCATGTCATGCCCATTATATAAACTGGGGACAGTTACCCAGAAAGGCTAGATCACTGCTCAGGTCGGGCTGGGTATCGGTCGGCACGTGGTGAGCAGTTGTATTCTCTTCCCTTGTTATTTCCCTTATCATTATTATTGGTGGTAAAAGCAGTGGTTTCGTGTTATACCTTGGTTACTGGACTGTTCTTAACCTGCGGGAGTTACATTCGTTTGATTCTTCCCCCCATCCCTACATGAGTGGGGGGAGGAAGGGGGAGAGCGAGCAAGTGGCTGCATGGTTCTGAGTTACCAGCTGGGCTTAAACCATGACACCACTTCACAAAAAAAGTGGTTATTTTGCTTCTTGAAATAACACTATGAAATTCTTGAAATACACGAAGCAGCAAATACAGGGCATCTTGCGAATGTATGGAGAAGTACGGCAACAACACTCACAGCACACGAAAACATAGAAAGGAATCAAAAAGCAAGAGTTCTGAACACTACTTTGATAGGGAAATTTTAATTTCCTTTTAATATAAGGTTGGGAGGAGTCTACTTCCAGGTATAATTTCCACTGTTTATATTTCATGCTACTAAAGCACATGCAGTGTTTGAAGGCAGACTTACCTCTACCAATGCCACAGTCAGAATATGTTCCATTTTTGAGTCTGGGAAAAGGGCATTCACTTGTGGAGACATTCCAATCAGTACGCAGTTAGTAACAACGGATATTACACTCATAGTTTCAAAAGCCAGCTGAAATAAAACACAAATATATTTATACTTATGACATTATCTCTAATTTACCAGTCTTCAAAGTGCTCCGTCTTCGTTAAATCTTCAGAAGTTCCATTATTTGACTTTTTTTCCTTCATCTTTTGAATTCTACAACCTAAGACTTGCTTGGCAAGCAGTCCAGACTTCATCAGATTTAAGAACAGGCAAAGACAAGACCACAAGAAGGTCTGCAATACCACAAAGATCATCTAGCAACCCTGAATTTCTCTCTAGTCTGATTTCTCTATGTGAATGTTATATGTTTGCTGTGAAGAAATTAAACCCTATTCTTCCACAATTCCCTAGTACTGTGAAGACCTTGAGAAGTTATTAAGAGACCATTAAAACACTTCAGATGTAGGTAATGCCAGATCACCACCTGAATAATTTGGAATAATCTTAAAGGAAAAAAGGGGACAGGAAAGCAGCCTTATCCCTGGTACCTTCATGACACATAACCTCAACACATAGAAGTGTGTTAAGTGTTCTCATCTCACACTCATCTACATAAAACACTTATCTACAGTTGTATTACTGAGCATGTTATTTCCTCCAGGATGAAGGAAAAAGTGCTAAATTCCTAGCAGGACTGTCAGTCCAAACACTCTCATTTTGGAGGTTTTGTCCGAATGTTAAGTAATAGGAAAACATAAGGATCAGTCAGAATGCCTTTTTTAAAAACCAGTTACACAAGCTGAAATTGGTTATAAAACAGATTTAAACACATGAAATTACATACATCTAAGAAGCTCTTGACTGAAGAGCTCCCACAAAATGTTGGAAAATATTACTATAGTGTGACAATTAATTTTGTAGTATCATAGTTACTTATTCCAAGGTCCCCTCTGGAACGAGAACGCCTGACATTGAATTGCAGCAATTTTCACAGCAAATTAGCAGAAGTAACTTTCTCCTTGACAACAAGCTGGTGACTCAGCCCACCTGATTCAAACAATTCCAGTATTCCCTTAACAAATCTTTCAGCCAATGCTCTAACTTCCCACATGAATCAGGTAACAAAATGTTTAAGTCATTATTTTTAATTCATACAAAACAAATGCACTTCTACTGTTAAAAATCTACACTATAAAAAACCCAACATGACTGTAGAATCAGTGTTATAGTTTTTCAGTCTACTCCCTAGAATGAAATAAACTATTCTTGCAAAACCAAATGCTATTACCACACCTCCAGCTACACCTGGGACTTGTGACCACAGCTTCACTTATCTGATGGTCGCACCACTGGTGAATGCCACTATGCCATCAAGATGCTGGCAACATAAATTCAGATTAAGAAAATGCATCAAATGTTTAAACGCAGATTATAATTTACACATTTTAATAACTTGATAATAAAAATTTTCTCCTGTAAGCTCCCTTCATTAAAACCTATGTATGTGTATAATGACTGCACAGAATACTCAGCCGGCATATTTTTACAGTATGTTTTATTTGAGGTTTCCTGATTTGATTTCTTCCATCCCCCATTTGTTTCATTTGGTACCAACATTTAAAAGCCCACCAAATTAAATGATCCACTAGTTTATTATTCCTCTGTCTCCATTACATACCATTACTAAAGTTGTTAACTATAACTAGAATATGGATTGTCCCCTGGAAATTTCCTCCAACCTACTTCGCACTCATTATGACTACTATTACAGAACGCTGCAGTCTCTGGATGTGACTTGACAGTATTCTTTCTTTTTGGAAAAAAACTTTGGGTTTGGAGGAGTTTTACAGGGTTATTTTCAGTCAGAATCAGTTTACTGACACAGCAGGCTCCAAACTAGCTGGTGCTAGCATGATTGCATAGGCAAGCAACGGAGGACAGGAAATCCTTAACCCACTACTACAAGTGTGAAATTGTTTAGATAGATTACAGTGCTCAGGCTGTGCACAAAGATCCAGATCCTGCTGACAGATTCAGGTTATTTTAAAATTAGTCAGCTTGAGTACAAGTAATCACAAGGGCACACAGCCAAGCATGGCTTAGGAATCCACGCACTTACCTACCATTCTTCAATGTTTTTAAACCCTTGCTCAGCTCTGTGCTTCTGAGATTGCATCAAATGTTACCCTTTCTAAAACATGTTGGCTGTAAAGAGTACTAGGCAGTATCTGGCTGCTTTGCTTTGTTGCAGTTGCAACAGGAGTACAATACACATATATACAAACACTAAAGGCTTTGTTTTCTTTTCAAAGGCAACTGGAAGACATCTGGTCAAAAATCCTACAAAAAAAAAAAACAACCAACACTTGGACATACAGTTGGATAGATACTATCCTAAGACATTGAAGAGAACAACGTACCTGCTAAACTTTAAAGTGGCAGATAGGCCAAATAGCTTAACATGTTTGCTGAAACCTCTTTCAAAATATATAAATAGAAAGACACAGAAATTACCTGCCAAACACCAATATTTGCTGTGGGTTCTGCAAATGGACGCTTGTAAACATTACACATCTTTAAGGCATCAGAATATATCTCGGTAATGTTGTTTAACACTGCAAAGACAGCTGCCAGTGGATAAACACATGAAAAAAGACTCACATAGCCAAACTGTAAGAACAACTCCAGGTAGTCATCAAAAGTTCCCTGAAAAACAAAGCAAAAATAACTTTTATCCACAAAAAACTGTGAAGAAACACAGAATTAACAATATAGTTATAAATGTGCTGCCTCATCCCAAATCAGTTGCTTGGAATAACTGGTGATAGAAAACAACAACAAACAACCCAACCATCTAGTTAACCTGGAATTCTTCAATTACTTAAAACTTTTTAATAAGAGTAGGCCAAAGTTTTAATTTTTGCCTAATGCATTTTTTGCAAGTCATACTTCTTATCCTTATTACATGAAGTAATTGTATAACACATTAATCTCATTCAAGTTCCTGACTAGTTCAGTGAAACAGTTACAGAATGAATTGTGTGGGACTGGAAAATAGCACCATGCATTTAAACTGGCAGGACATTCTCCCAAAAGCACTGTGACAAGAAAAGTCCTTGTATTCCAGACTGTCTATGAAAGACCTAACCAGAAAGGTAGGCTGGTAGATAGGCGACTCTTTTCTGGTATTTCTACTTGCTTATTTCAAATGGGGTAAATCAGAATCAGTGGCACACTAGAAGGCTGAAATGACAGAATGCAGCACTGACATCTGAAAGGAACAGTTAGTGCAACAAAAAGCCCTGGTTTAGCAACTCTGCAATGCATCTATCACCTGATCTTTAAACCAAGAATGTGGGTACATAAATGCTGATTAATTATTCACATGTAGATCATTATATATATTTGCATATCAGTTTTGTATTACTTATAGTGCTCATCAGATTGCAGCAATTATTTGTGAAAGTGAAGAACCATTTTCAAGTAATTTTCAAGCTGCACACTATATAGTTGGGTCTGACAAACCAATCTGCAGGCCAGCCTGTGAAGAGCTACCTAACTTAAAACCACTGAGATTTTTCTACGGAAACATTTTGTACAAACTCTGAATTTTACTAAGGTCATCCTCAGGGACACTTGTCCAGGATTACTCAATGGAGTAGCAGTCGCACATTTGTCCCTGCTATCACTTTCTCAGACAACTGTTGCAAGCAGGGAGCGATCCTTCTGTGTTCCTCCTGCTGGTAACTGCACAGTATTCCCACTGCTTCCTCACACTTTTCTTATTTCGTTGCCCAGTACCTACTGACTTTTAGAGTATGAAAAGAAAAGGAGTATTTTTTTTCCTCCTACTCAATTTATGACACTTTATGCAGAAAAAGGAGTCTGATATGATGTTAAAGCAATTTCCAAGTGTGCCACTGTCAGCCACAGGAGCAGCACATGAACTATATCATCAAGGGAACAGACTCACCAAAGAAATTCAGGAGAAAATGAACTAGATAAGAGAAGCAGAAAGTTTTAAAATATATATATTGCAAGATGGTTTTACAGCTTAAACTCAGTTAAAGGCTGGAGATTTGAAAAGTGAGAGAGAAAGAGGACAAACAAGAGAATTGAATGTTAGAGTAAGTGAATGAAAGAAAACAGAAGAGCCTGAAACACAGAATTCTGTCAAGACTCCTGCTAAACTTGTCATCTACTAAGCATAGTCAAATGCTTCCCCCTTGTGACAGATTTAATTTTAAGAAATACTCTTGGCTGCTGGCAGCTCACAGCTTGCAGACAAATCAGTGGTTTAATATTGGATATTCATAAACACAGCACAATTAAAATATTTAGATTCAAAATAACACTAAGGCCTTAAGTACACAGTATCTTGAACTGAAACTGGGGCTAGCAGTGGCCAACTCCAAGGCAAAGCTGTAACTCTATAACTGACCTGTCAGGTCCCAGTGGTAAACTACTCAGGGCAGAACAGTTCAAAAGGTGCAAGTATATTTATCCAGCCTTGCATAAGAAGCACTGCACAATGTGACTCAGAGACAACGCACTGGCTTTTCATGTGCCAGCTGAGAATGAGAAGTCAGTTCAGGTCCAAGAGGCAGAACTTACTTTGTCACATATATCCATGCCTCATGCCAACACACAGCTTTTGGAGCTCTGCTGGCCTATTTGCAGGCACAGTGCTGGACTGTGCTGACTTACCAGTTCAGACACTAACAAGGGGATTTCTGCTGTGCTCTCCCTTGACAGACAGACACGCTCTCTAAATCTATTTCCCTCCATCTAAAGTGTTGGAAATACCAACCTTCCCAGAGGAAGGCAAGTGCTAACATTTGTACAGTTTTCCAATTGCAAAGGTAGCATTTCTTTTTCCTCTTCCCACTTCATGGCACTTTATGCAAGAAGAGAGGAATCTGATATAGTATTATCAACACATTTCAAACTGCCTTACACAAAAGGTTCACTGTCCATATAATTCTTGCTCTGGGAAAGTATAAATCATACAGTATTAAGACTCTTGTGACTATGGTTGCAGCATCTGATCCAGCAAGCTGTCGGTCAGTTTGTAAGGCCTTAACATATACACTGATGTCTACTTTGTCAATTCCTTTAGAACTGCATGTAATATATTGCAAAAATCTGTTAAATACGATTAAAATTAAAAGAGGTGGTCAGGAATGGAACTAAGAAGACCGCAAATGCCAAAGCTGTAGTTTAAAGAAGCAAGAGCTTCCAGCAGTAGTACTGGTTTGAAGAATTAGTCTCTTCTGCCCCCTCCATTTCTGGCACCACCCAGACATAAATGCACTCTCTCAGGCTATATTAATTGACAGTTTAAACTAGTATCTCTGCAAAACCAAACTAAAACAGACACCGTCTCCCCCTTCCCTGTGCCAGGCATCATTGTAGCTTTCAAGCTACCCTTGGAGATTAAGGGCATATTACATAAGCACTTCTTCCAGTGCTACGGGGTTAGGTAGTTCCAGATTCAGCTGTTCATTCCTATCCTTCAATCTAGTGTAACTGGGATCATGCACTGTTCCGTTTTCTTGATCCAGCACATCACAGGCCTGTATAAACAACACTATCAGCAGAACTGATGAAGCTGGAAATAAGCTGCCAGGCCAGAGAGCCAGAAATAATTCAGGTTGCACAGGTTCATATCTTTGTCAACTACAACCCAGAAAAGTCTGAACTCTTTTACAGTAATAAAACATACACAATAGGTGCCCATTTCTTTCTCCAAGTTGACTTGTTCAACTAATGACAGGTCTTTATCAATCTTCGGAGAACACAGGTGTTTCTTCATCCTCTTGTTATACCTCTTTTGGAGCCAGTAAGGAAGCAAGGACTCTGCCAACTGATTGAGGATCTGCGAAGTTATCAGCAAAGTGGCCAAGCTCTTAAGATACAAAAAAAAAAAAAAAAAGAAAAATTAAAATTAATAGAACTGTGATAAACCTATGATCGTTTCCAATTTTGTGCATTCTAGTAACACTAAGTTAATATACTATGACAAAAGAGGGCCAGCCTAACAGAACTAGCAATAGCATATGAAAAGTATAGGTGTTCTAGTCCCCATTAGAATCACAGAATAGTTAGGGTTGGAAAGGACCTTCAGATCATCTAGTTCTAACCCCCCTGCCATGGGAAGGGACACCTCACACTAGACCATGTTGCTCAAGGCTCTGTCCAACCTGGCCTTGAACACTGCCAAGGATGGAGCATTTACCACTTCTTTGCACAACCTGTTCCAGTGCCTCACCACCCTGACAGAAAAGAACTTCTTCCATTCATTGTTCTGTGCTGAAAATAACAAAATAGAGTTAAATGTTTAAGTACTTTGTGGATTCTGGACATGTCTTGGAGACAGTACAGAACACACTGAAGTATATTAAATGTCACAAATTTCATGTCTGGTATAGGTATGTCAATTGTTTTGCTAAAGCTCTCTTCAGAGAAGAGAGATCTTGAGTTAAAGTTCTGCTGTTTTGTTAATTACATTTAAAGAAAAAGAAAGCTGATGTAAAATACCAACTACAAATTATTATTGCTTTTACTTATTCTCAGCTCCTCATAGTAGTTATAAATTTGATCCTCAAGAGTATCTCATTAAGAGCACTACAGAGAAAACCATTTTCTAACAAAAAGGGAAAGAAGGAGGAAATGAAACTTTCCCAGCCTCATCTGTGTGAGGGAATAATGAATTTATTAGAAAACAGGTCCTCATTTAAACAAAGGGAAAAACTGCTCCATTCCAATTACGATTCTGCAACTGTGCCAGAGGAACTGAAATATGAAAGTTGGCTTTCTAAGAAAATACATAGGAAACATATTCATTGTCAAGTTAATAATTTAGAAAAGCAATTAAAAACTGAAGTCGTGTTCCAGTCAATCCTTTATTTTTCTAAATTTGTCAACATTCTGAATATGTTCTTGAAACTCACCTGCCTCAAAAGGTGCATATCAAACAGCACAAAGGCAATGTAGAAGAGAGATGCAAAACAATTTAAGAAGTTGAACTGCAAACAAAAATCTGTTATTAGTACTTAAGCAAAAGTTCAAATGCAGAATATCGTCTAACTTAACCTGACTAACAGCTTCCATTCACATGCTCAGTAAAATTTTCAATTATGGTCTTATTCAGGTTTTCATTTGACAAGCTTAATACTTTTCTAAAGCATGATGTACAAAGACAACTAAAATTCAATTATGAAATGTGGACATTAAAAAAACATGTTACCTTCTACTTAAGTTTCATCTTTTGGCAGTTTCCCCATACGTAATACAATAAAAGGGATACTCTAATCTTAATTTAGGATAATGTTTTTTTTTTTCAGACAAGTATTTTATTAAAGTATGTGCTGGATGACAGATCTCTCAACACGTACAACTGTTCCTCAATATATATTAACTAAGCTTTATATTTAATTGCTTCAAGAGGGTTTATGACCAAGAGAAATATTCCCTACTTCTAAAATGAGATATAATCACAGTATTGTACATCCGAAAAATCATAATCAAGCTCTGAAGTTTATATATACTTGTACTGCATACTTACCACTAGAACTTTTAGAATTAAATGATTTTGATATGAAGATTCCAGCCTGTGATTTTCTAAAATACCAACAAGATTATTGATTAGTAAACAGCAGAAGCACTTGCCATATCATAGAATCACAGAATAGTTAGGGTTGGAAAGGACCTTAAGATCATCTAGTTCCAACCCCCCTTGTCATAGGCAGGGACACCTCACACTAAACCATCTCACCCAAGCCTTCATCCAACCTGGCCTGGAACACTGCCAGACATCGTTATACAAAGAGTAAACAGACACCTTCCTCTATCTCAAAATCACTTAACTAAGAGGTTTTGGGGGCAGAAAGAATTTATACTATACCAGTGTCTCTCTTGACCTGTCAAGCTAATCTGATGCACGATATTAACATTCATATTTTCGTATATGACTCCAGTTCTTTTTCTACTGCAAAGGTTTCTCTTTTTATATCTTTCTTCCTCAGAAGAGCTGTTTTATAACAGAAAAAACACCCATCATTCTAAATACTTACTAAAATGTGCCTAGTTATTGATTGTTCTCTGGTTGAATAAATGCAAAACTAAATTGGAATACATTATGAAAATTAATATCAGATTTGATTCAAACCCAGTAAATGCTCATAGAAATATTCCCATCCATGTCCAAGGGATTTAGATCAGACCCTAAGCTCTAAAGCAAGACTAGAGTACATGAAGTTCAACAGATGTTGTACATGAAGTACATGAAGTTCAACTCATTCTAAAACCAAGATTTTTCAGTTCATTTCAAATAAACTATTGGCAGCTAATGTTTGAGCAAGGCTCATTACTAGGGGGGAGGAAAGGGAAATAATGGGAGATTTCCCGTTTCTCTTTGCTATTTTGTCAGACTGTACCTTTAAAGCTTTGGCTGAGCAGTAACTGAGAAGGCAGCACACAAGCAAGAGCTGTGTCAACAAGGCAATAAGGAGACACCTTCCCCTCCAGACCTTGCTCAGGACACAACAGCAAAGTTCTACTCTGACAAGGGGCGTGAAGGTGGACCCAACACATGGAAGATGCACTCAAGTGACTAAATGCAATTTTTGCTTTTAGCTTTCACTAAATGACCAGGTCTCATGATAAACAGGTATGCTTAAAATTACCCCACATAGTTTCCTATGCTTTGTCAGTCTATCTGTTTAAGTCAGATATTAGCTGCCAGGTAGAAGGGGAGGTAGATGAGCTCTTCATCCTATTCACAGCATGGCAGCATAAACACATTGGATAGCACAAGTTGTCAGTGATAGTGAGTTACATAAATACTGTTGCTACTTAATATGAAACATCAGCTTAAACCAAAAAAAATCTAGGTTAAAAAAAATCCCTGGGTTACCTCTTAAAAACATTTTAGTCTACCTGGTCAACACAACTGGGCATTTTGCATAAAGGCTTTTTCTTGCAGTATAGTGGGGAAAAAACAAAAAACAAAACAAAAAAAAAACACCCCTCCCCCCCCACACACAAAAAAATCCATTGAAACCTAAATATGAATTTAAAAGTTATTATTTAAATATAAACCTTGAACAGTCATAGATCAAGAGATTGCCTGCTTTTGCTATTGCTGCGGTCAAGTACAGTTTGCTGAGCCAATAATTTCTGTGTGCCAAACCAATGCACACTTTAACACCTCTTTTTATTCTGACTTCTGCATGAATCTCCCTTTTGCTTAATCTTTCTTAGGTTAATTTTCTGGGTGCCCAGCTTTAGTAACCTGGATTCTGTGCTGTAAACGTATGACATACTGAGCTACACAAACCAGTTAACTCCCCATTAGCCTCACCTATTACCTTTGTCTGAAAGTGACTGCACATGTCTACAGAAGTGCTAAAATTCAAAATAAAGACTAACATCTCACTATCCTTATGTTAGGTTATAAAACATAACACCCAATCTGTTAAGTCACACCCACAAGGGAAAAAAAGCAATCTATTATAACACCCCATCTCTTCTGAGAGTGCCCAGAGGAAAATATTTTAATAGGGATGTGAAATCTTAGTCTTTGTTTTACATATATATAATACACAAACACTCTCATATGAGATTTAGCTGGTGTTTTTAGATTTTGTTCCACTATCTCAGTGCCTCCATTCTCTGGACAGATAAATCAGTAGACTAAGATGTACTCAGCAAACCCAGGCTACAGGTGCAACTGCCAGGGCAGTCCCTCTGGTCACCCACCTCTGAGATCATCTCAGCAAAACTGATACTTAATTTTGTTACTGATACAGCCAAATAAAGAGCTAAATGGAAATGGGATTTCTGCAGCAAAGGCAGAGAGAGGCCGAGGAGGAAGGCAGGATCACTTCTGATGGCATGCTAGACTTAAATCAAATTAAACCAAACATGAAACTACAGTTTCAGAACACTCAAAGTTAAAATAGCCATCTCTTCTACCCCACAGTAAAAATCTACTTCAGGAAATTTCATTAGCATCCCATTGAACAAGAACTCAAAGTAATGTATTCTACAAAGAAACAAATTCTAAACATCTGTGACTCCAACTTTAGGGAAGAAGAGTAAACAACTTTCTTACCCCATGATGTTAAGAATTCAGCAGCATACCGATAGATACGGTTCATAATTTCAATCACAACAGCATATATGATACTGGGCACAAACAGCATCAAGCTGCTGAAGTTAGAGTCATTCTCCTCATGGTAATCCAGAGCCCACTCTTCCAAATCAAAGTAAATCATCATCACATACAGTGAGAAGTAGAGGCAAAGGCACACAAATGGTAAGGACACCAGATAAATCCGTAGCTGTCTCTTAATACTTGAGTACACTGGTTCCTCCCTCCCAGTGATGGGATTAATACCCAGGACGCCATGGAAGCCTGGTCTTGGTTCTTCAAACTGGCGTTTCATCAGCAGCGTCCCCCAACGGTATGTCATGGTGGCACAAATCCGCTTCCAAACTTCCAGTATCACAGTGGACCAGAGCAGGTTGAATGTGGCAAACATCACGTATTTGTCATAGTCTTCCCAAGCAAATACATAATAAGGAATCCCAATAACAGCCATTGGAATCAAAGCAAATGTGAAATACTCTAAGAAGGCAAAGTAGAGTGCAATGGTTTCACCAAAGTAGCAGCGTATCTCATCTGCAGAGAAAAACAAATCAATCACGACTACACTTAACATAGATGTCAGTATAATATCAAACTTGACTTTACATGAACCCCTTGGCCTATTTTTTTTCTAAATAATGGTGTATATTATATACCTTTTTATTCTGCCTTCTCCCATGTTCCAAAACCTCAGAAGGTTATCTGAATTATCTTTTTTATGTTACATATAAACACATACAGAAACATACGTACATATAATCACATGGCAAGGAATTCAGGTATCTCAGTACTTACCATATCAATATCTAATATATGGGGCAGAGAGAGAAACCAAAAGCATTCTTGTAAACAGCACCTACCACTGAATGGCTAGGATGGCACAGAAGACAATAGGTATCATGAAAAACCGAAACCAGGCTTTAACAGCAAGTGACATCTAACTTCTGAGGCTTGTCACTGGCATATATACACTTGGGAAACAAATTTGTTCCAGCCCACTTGTGGCCAAAAAGGACTAGTTGTGCTTTGCCAGCCCTCAAGGAACTAAAGGAATAGTTGGAAAGGTATACTGAAATCTTAAACATGTCAGATAGCAGAGCCAGGCTGAGACATTCCCTTCAGCAGACAACTGATACATGAAATACACACTGGTTGTACTCACCAAGACTGTCTGCCTAGTTGTTATAAAGACTTGAAAAGTGGATGCTAATGGATACATTTCACAACAGATGTATTACCTCCAAGGAAGCCATGATGTCATCTATCTTACTACTAATAAAAAAATGTAGGAGTATTATCCAACACAACCTAGACATGGCATCCCACAATAAGATCTAGAAATTCCTAGCAAACCAAGTTTAGAACACTGAAATCTGCTTTATCTTTGCCCACCTGGAAGACCAGTTTACTTGTATGCCACTGCTATGTATTCACCAGCTTAACAGAATTATTCACCAGTCATGACATCATGACCTCTGAACTGACACTGTAAATGTCATCTCTGTAATAGACTAGCACATCAAAACCTTATGTGCAATACCAGAATATTCTTACAGCTTATGGCTCACAAAACACTAGAGCAGATGTTCACAGTAGCCAATCCGTCACTGAAAGCAAGAAGGAAAGGCAAACAGAATCAGCACTCCAACATCCCTCTTAATACAAAATTTACTTGCAAGTTCAAGTGTAAGTCACTAGTACGATTTCACACTCCAAACACACAGACAGAAAGACAGCCCTACATTAGTACACACGTAACGGGGTTCCTGGTATTTACTTTGAAATTTTGTGTGTATTCAGTGTCAGTCAAAAAATATATATCTCTTACATAAACACAAGACATGCACACAGTAAGACCCCTAACTCTGCAGGCAGGCATTATCAAGTCAGATCTTTAAATTCCTGTAGCTCAAAAAACCTATCAAGCAACTGCAAGGTGCAGAGATTAATAATTAGGCAAACTCTCATATGATTATTTTCTTATTTTTAAGTAAGGTTTACAGGTTTAGAATCCAGAACTTAACTTTCCACATCACCAGGCTAGAAAATCATTTTCATTTTAAGCTTATTCAATGTGGAAAATATACTCAGGGATGCTGGCTTGCAACAACACAGTCTTCATACAGATAATGAATTTAAAACAAACAGTTGTAAACACACTTTTGACGTGCCTACAACTCAAAATAGTTCTGGGAATTCCAGACACTGAGGAGCTTTCCTGTCAAGAGAAAACAGTCTTGACTTTGCCTATTACTGCTTTACAGATAAGGAGCACTTGTAATGTACAGACTTGTTATATGGAAGCTTACAGACACTGAACCTGCAGACTGAACTACCAATTTCACAAGTCTTGAACCATTTCGGGAGGTTACATAGGGAATGTCAGAATAAGAAAAAACTTCCCCATCTGGTAAAAGAACAATGGTCCACGCTTCAAGATGATCACAGTGCAAAAGCTAAGTGTTGACACGGGAGTCACAGACAACGCAGAGATGATCAATGTGATCAAGCAATTGCCATTTATTACAAAGCCTTAACTCCTTATATACTATTTCTTACATGTACTTACAGTGATTTGGCGTATTATGATTGGATACATGTCTTGAAGACCCTTAGTGACTAACATGTAATTGGTTAAGCATAGGTGTCAGAACTTGACCTCGAAAGCTTGCCAACAGTCCACAGTTCTCATTAACTCAGTGAATTCCAGCTTCTTCTTATCTTGCTTGCTTAAGCTTCCTCGGGCCTCTCATGGCCTTGCTGTATCTTTCAGGATTATTCAGAGTTTATGTACCAATTATCCATTCTCCTGTGAGAACACTGCTTCCACAGCTAAGCCTTTGAACTTTCCCCCAGCTCCAACTTGGAAACGGACCAAAAGCCTATGTACAGAACTCCTACAGCCATAAGAAAGAAAATAAAGCACACATCCAGTGCTTCACTCCAGAACAGTTGTGCTGCAAGTTGTTACAACAAAAGATTATCCTATGGCCATCTTAGAATGATGCAGAATTTGATGTAGAAACCTCAACTGCACATGTCAACAAATCTGGAAACATGGATCCTTCCTTAACCAGAGCCTAAGCCACTCTGTCAATTCAAAGACCAGTAAAGGCAAAGATGAGTAAAACAAGGACTTTGGTTCACAGCAAATCAACTTGGGCAGAAAGGTAGTGTTAGGAGAGGTGAACTGCAGTGGGTAATTGGGGATGTGAAAAAGTAAACAGTCACTGAAAAAAACGGACTTCTTGGTATAATACTTACCTTCCACACAGGAGTTTCACTTTTAGGAAAGACCCTTGGTCTTCTCATACAAACTGAAGAGAAAACTGCTTCAAAAGAAACCCTCCACTTTATCTGTAGTGGAGTAAGTATTCACATACCTAAAGGTTGATAACCAACTTTCACTCGACCATACCAGCTGTGACAGAGCTTTTTCAACTCTTCTCTATCCTGCAGTGGGAAAATCTGAACTAGAATACCACTGGTCAATAATCTTCTCACTAGAAGGAAAAATAAAAAAAATGGTACCTAGTACTCCTTCAAAGACAGTGAAGTTGAGATAAGCAGACAGGTTACATGATGTACTTAGCAAGCCTACAGTTCCTTTGAAATAAATCTAGCAGTTAAATCCTAAAACCAAACAAATTATCTGCATGTTAGTTGAAAATTATTCACTATAGAGAGCAGTTGGACCTCTTCTGCAGCTGCAGTCCACTGGAAGAGAAAGAGTAATCTTTTTGTATCAATTAACAATTCCATAGGTTTGTACTATAATCAGTTGCAGCTTGAAAAGCAAAAAGTGCTATAGGTCAGAACTGAAATGCCATGCGTAGCGTTGTGGGAAAAGGCCTGGCTCTTGCATGTGAACAAAGAAAGACGTAACAAAACACTAAATTGAAGAACCATTTTTATATTATGGAAAATATACTAAAAACACTTTTGAATTACCAACGTGAAATATCAGTTTAGACTAATTCATAAATTACAACACATCTCCATTGCAAACAAACCAAATAGTCCACAATTTGTATTTAACTTTGTTATGGAAAGCAAAACTACCTGTATGGATAAACAATTAACAAACTGGCAGTTACAACCATATAAATATTAAAAAGAAAATAAATGCAAAACAAGGAGAGGGTAGGCACTGGAAGCTGTATAATAGTTATTTACCACTTCCACTCAGCATTTACTTGACATAACTAGAAAAATACCATAGCTATATAAACAATTATCAGTGTAAACTCATCTGACATTTACATTCATTCACATTTCTTGAGCTACTGATATGCACATCTCTTTCTCTGATGATCAATACTAGTGAATAAAGACACTACTATTAAAAGGATGTACAAGTATAAAGAGAAATTCTCCTAAGAAACTGCAGCATCTCTGCCAATGAATTAGTTCCAGCTGCTATAAATACAGCACTAGCTCTCATTGCTTCTTTCTCCTATGAAAAGGAAGCTCTTGAAGCAAAGGGGAGGATAAATGAATTCTAATGATTGAAAAAAACCTTCCTTCATATTGTGAAATTTATAGCTCTGAAACACTGTTATTCATTCCAGCCATTTTATACAAAACCAATCCAAGCAGATCATTATGTAATTTTTTTAAAACCAAATATTTTGGGTACTAATTATAAAAATAACGGATGACATCAATATATATGACAATTATCCAACTGAAAAGAGCATAAGGCCAGAGTCTCATCCTCACAAAAAACTGAGGATGGAAACCTCTCTGGGAGTCATCGGGTCCAACTTGCTACTCAAAGTAGCTCCAGCTTGTATCAGGCTGCTAAGGGCCTTGTCTAGAGAAGATCTGAAAGTCTCATAGGGCAGTTACCACAATCTCTCCGTTTCAATGTTTGATTACCCTCATTGCAAAAAACATGTTCTCAATATTTATTCACAATTTCTCTGGTTGCACTGTGCATCCGTTACCTCTTGCTCTGTTGCTTTGGAGTGATGAGAAAACAAAGTTGATCAAATAGTGGGATTTCAGTGTCTGAAGGATTTCTCTTCACTGCAGGACATTTGCATTTTTCCATCAGGATGAACGCTATCCTACATCAACACAGTGAATTACACGGGACAAAATATTTGGCTTACCAATTGATTTTCCTGGATACAGCTTTGCCTGAGGATATCCAGGGATCATTTTTTCATCTTTAGCTCTCAAATTTTCGAGTTCATGTTTGATGATATACTGACATTCTGCCATTGTAAGAAATTCATGATTGTCATCTAAATCAAAAAAGAAGGTAGTATGAAACTCTGCAGCAGTGAAAGACAACCCCGGCAGCAATTAACAATCAAAACCAACCAGAATCAGGAAAAAAAAAAAAAAACCAAAGTGACAATTACTGCCAATCAACATCCATTAACAAAAACTCCGCTGTTTAAAATACACATCTTGGGAAGACATTTTCTCTAACTGGCACATGTTGGCCACTACAGTTTTGAACTAAGAGAATGAATCACTCAAGAAACAAGAACACCCCTGAAGTCCTAATTGCTGGAGGCTGGGATAGTATACCAGCAAATACTGAATACTCTTGCCCTACTGAAAGGCTATTACTTAGGCATCCACTATTTGCCAATCCCAGAACCTCCTTTCTGCCCAGAACACCTTTCTGCCATTCAGTTACTGAAGTATTTTCATCTCAAAACACAGTGAGATGTCAGGACAAATCTCCAATAACCATTTCACACCAAATATCACAGTATCTTGCTCTTTATTGCCCATACAACCCAATTATATGCTATTTGAGACAATGAGTTCTTATAAAAATAGAGCAGATAAAACAAAGTAAGAAACATCTCAAAAAAATCTGAATTTTTAAGAGCTACAGCAACAGAACTATTGTCAACCCCATCAATTTACCATCAAGAAAACTGTAATTTCCTTGAGATAATGACCAACTGATTATTTTTTCCCCTCAGGAATAAGAAAGTATAAGGACGGCCCTGAATATACTAACTAAGAAGCTAAACCAGCAACAAATCTCTTAAGATTAAAAATAAAGTATCAGGTAAATTGGGGAACTAGAAATCCTAGTAAGAAACACAGGCTGCAGGGTTTCTTTTCCAGATGACACATTTTTCACCTCATGTAAGCATGGTCAATTACTTTATCCTCTGATCAGATCTGGATAAAACTAAAATTATATTAATTTTTGGTCTTTTTTTTAAAAACTATCTCTCAGGTACAGTAGTTTGAGCTCCTGCTCCTACTACAGAATCTGTTAGCAATGGCAGTCAGATTAGCATTAAGGATATAAACACATGAAAGAAATAAAAATGACCTTTGCAACTGATAATTCTTCTCCAGGCTTTCCAATTTCAGAAAAGTACAGTTGGAAGAGAAGAGACACTGCAAACAGTTATTGCGCACAGCAGCAGCAGGAGATAAACTGACACCAAACAAACAACAAAACAGTAATAAAGCTGAGTTTCAGACAGACCCAAGCGGCCTTGTATTGAAAACATGGTGAAAGTCATCACCCAAACAGGTACAGGAAAAGTATTTGCAATATTGAGGTTGAATTCAAATATTTACCTGGACAGGAAAATAAGTTTTGCCACCGTAGGGGGTTTAAATATCTTACAGGTAGCGCATTTAACAGAGAATGTTACTGTGTTGGCATCCCCTCAAAATTAAAAAGGAAAAGGAATGATTTCACTAATCAGAAGATTAAGATAAGCCTCAAAACTGACTCAGAAACTAAACTGCTACTTTCCTTTAATTCATAATGTTGATCATTAATCCTGCACTCACATTTCTCAACCTTTTTTTTTTTCTTCATTTCAGCACTTTCATAAAAGTAAGAGAATATTTGGAGCACGCAAAAGCATAAAGCAAAACTCAAGCAAAAAGTGAAAGCCATGTGAAAGAAAAAACATTTTTAATTTCATTATATGATCTGAATTCCCATAGGTAAAAATAAGTATTTTTTCATGGCTTGTTCTTCCCATTTTTGCTCACTGTTACCATCCCAAGGAATAAAAAGACCATAAAAGATTTATCAGTGTATTTGCTCATCTTTAGTCATAGCCTTCCAATGCCAAAGACCCCTAAAATTCCTTACCTGCAAAATCTTTGAAAGTTTTTCTGCTACTATATGTAAAAGTTCTCATTGAGTTATCACTACATTCCTTCACCAAACCCACAGTTTCAGCTCCCAGCAACAGCCTTAAGTAGGAAGCTCCAACTAGATAAATATTTTCACCTTCTTTTTCTGTGAGTAATGGTTTAACCAGCAGTTGTGCACCTTTAAAGAAAGGCAAAATAATGAAGAAAAAATACATTAAAATTAAGTCTCAAACCCCTTATAATTTAGCATCCATCATACTGGACCTAGTTATCAGGAGTGCTGAAGCTGCATAAGGGCGCAACAAATTAAGCCTTCAACAGCACCTGAAATGTGCTGTTCAGAATCTTGCAGGGTCACCCCCTTATTTAGCTTGGATCTTTTCCCCTAGTGGTCACATCATGTAAGCAACTGATGCTTCTACAAATGGCCCCACTCTTTTTAAGGAGACTAGACTTTTGAAATAGAAACATTCCTGATTTATCTAACAGAGGCCTAAAAGCAAGTTTTTAGCCACAAATCCAACAGCCACAGAAATATTACTGACAGTACGATACAAGCTACAACAGCCATAAATAATGTCTTTCTAAAAAATGTAAAAAAAAAAAAAAATACACCCCAGTCAGTCTATGGAATTACAAATTAATTAGCCTAACTTCAATTCCTGGAACTGAATAATACACTAAACTGAGTAATGAAGTATTGCCTTTGTATGAGCCCACAAGCTACCAAAACAAAAATTAAAATCCAACATGAATTTATCAAGATTAACTTGCTTACTGCTACCTCAACTTCATTCTACAAAACAGAACTAGATCTTATGGACAGGATAGTAGATGTGATGTGCCTTCATTTTCGCAAGGCTTAGAATGTTCCCATAAGAAACAAAGATGCTCTAGACAACTACTATAAAAACTGATCTCAAAACTATGTTGAAAGACAGGTTATCACTGTTTCACCACAAAAAAAAAAACAAACCCTGAAGGATTCTAGAGTTTAACAGACATGTGACCTTAAACTGATATTTTCATTAATAACTGGGTTCAGTTATTACATTTTCATCATACCAGCATGAAGCTCTACTCTTATATACAATTAAACAACTTCAAAAATGCAAAATGGAGTGGGCTTAGCTAATGAATAATTACCACAAACTACCTGAAAACTGGTTTTCTATGTCTTCATACTACAATGACAGCCAATTTGATTTCAAAGTGTTACAGAAGGTCATACTGTACTCACCTCCCTTTGCTTTTTTGTCCACAATTCTTTTAGTGAACCATTCTATGGTTTCCGCTTTGGCACTTTTAGCAAGCTCAATTACTACCAGAGGCCTGAAGTCAGACTCACAAATATCCAGGAAAGACCAGCTTTTTGCCATCTTTTGAGAGCTTGCTAAGCACAAAAACAAAACAAAAATGCCAATGTTAAATAAATATTTGGTATCAATCTAAAACCCATAAAACTTCATTATTGTGAGTTATATATGTCTGTGCTTAGCAAAGCGGCAGGTGCCGATTTCCGCGGACCTACTATAAAAAGCAACCTGTCCAGCTGCCACTTGGCAAGACGATACAGTCTTTGGTGGCATTTATGTCCTACTCTCTAAGTAGGGAAATTGTTCTGCTATGTATAGCAAAGCAGTAGTGATGAGAAAGCCAACAAATAAATTAAAGTAACAAAGAGATGCTATCATCAAAAACAACAGTTTGCAACTTCCTACCGTGTATTTGTCTGCAAATGAAAACAGAAGAGAACAATAGTCAAAGAGAGATCTAAAACCTGCAAGATTCTCCTGGTAAAAGAGGGCAAATACATTATACATTTAAGGAGACACCTTCTCAATTAATCTAGTGATGCTTTCAACATACCAAGGAAGCTCATACTAACTTGGGTAGGAGAGCGGGATATCTATCACACAGATAGGCAAATTGTGCACAAAGTACTTGTATGCCGTTTAAAGATATGAAACAAGTGTTCGGTGACGAAGTGCAGTTACAAAGTGTCGAGCATCAGCATAGTTTTATATGTAAATATCCAAATGATCTATGTCAACCTTTACAGAATCACAGAACCATTCAGATTGGAAAAGACCTTTAAGCCTGACTGTTAACCAAACACTGCCACATCCACAACTAAACCATGTTCCTAAAAAAACCATTACAGGACTTCTAAATACCTCCAAGGATGGCGACTCAACCACTTCCCTGGGCAGCCTTTTACAATGCTTGACATCCCTTCCACTGAAGAATTTTTCCTAATAGTCAACCTCCCCTGGTGCAACTTGAAGCCATTTTCTCTTGTCCTAGTGCAGTACCTGGGAGAAGAGACTGACACTCCTTGCTCCAACCTCCTTTCAGGTAGCTGTAGAGAGCAATAATGTCCCCCCTGAGCCTTCTCTTCTCCAGACTAAACAACCCCAGTGCTCTCAGCTGTTCCTTGTGAGTCTTGTTGACACTGCATCTTCAGTTTTTATATAAATGATTCTACAGAGATCACTATATCATTATCAATATCTCTAAGATGCTTCATACATCATCTCAGAGGTGTTAATTATAAGAAAAATTTGGTAACTAAGCTACTCAGTTAAAAAATAAACTAAAAACCAAACAAAAAAAAAAGACACAAAACAAGAACCAAAAAACCCTACCACAGACTGAATTTAAAACTGAGCAGAAGGTTTGGTGGGCATGGGGTTTGTTTTTTTCTTGCTATTAAGTTCACTGAAGATTTTATCTACTGTCTTTAAGCAGCTTTCCCGTCTCCTGCTCAAAGACTGAAATTACACGATTTCTAAGTAAGTTGCTCTAAGGATGCAGTTCACCTTTTATTACAGTTATACTTGTGTGATTCACAGAGAAATCACAATCTTCAGTATTTCATGTAAATCATCCTACAGAGTACAGTGATACTGCAAACATGCATATCGTAATAAACAGGATCTATTTGCTTTTAACTGGCAAAAAAAAAAAAAACAACAAACTTTCAAGACAGATTTCAACGGGGTTTTCAGTTAGTTTCACTTGCCAGTTTCCACAAACACAATTCTGCAGCATTCAGATTTAAAGCTCTGAAACCAAGTATGTGTGTCTTTAAAAGAAATACACTATATTAATAAAGTATTTAAAATCATTTTAGATACAAATTTGCATAAGCAGGATGAACCAAAGGAAAATATCATCAGGTATAAGGCACTGTGACTGTCAATAATTGACTATGCTGTGATGAGTCACTCCACCTCATTGATTCACTTTCCATAAGTAGTTTTATTTTTTTAGGGTAACGCGTGCCACATTGCATATGGTGCAATGTCAAGATTATTTAAAAAATGAAATGCACTAGATAATTACTAAATATTTCTAGTATCACTTTCCAGAACAGTTACCTTCTGCAAATAGCCTCTGTATAAACAGTATGCTACTCGTTAAACTTTGGTGCTATCAGAAGACAAGTTGGACAGGGCTTCGAGCAACCTGGTCTAGTGGAAGGTGCCCCTGCCCATGGCAGGGGATTGGAACTGGATGAGCTTTGAGGTCCCTTCCAACCCAAACCAGTCCGTGATTCTGTAATTTCTTCAGAATCACTGTGCCTGAAGTGGTGACTAAGTAAGATCTGATAATTTGGGGTTTATTACAACTGGAACCTAGAGCACGGTTTAAGCACCCTCCAACATATATTTATGATTTCCTATACCCGTTTTGAATGCCTGCCACTGACCCCACCGGATACAACTTGGCCTCTCCTTTCATACCTACGCTCAGCGTAACTTGCGACAGACCCAGAGCTGTGAGGAACACAAACAAAAGCACTTCCAACCCCCAGACTCCTTTCCCAGCCACGAAGCTCAGGAAGGGCTCCAGGCCCCCTCAGAACAGAGGGAGCTCCCCGGACGACCAGGGAAGAAAGGCCCAGCCGCATCGCCGCCGCCAGCACAACCAGTGACTCACCCTCTCTCCTTCCCGCCAGGCCGCGGTCCGTCGGCGGACACCGCCCTGTCCCTGTCCCCCCGTGTCTCCCCCCTAGCCCCGCTCCACCTCGGACGCCTCCTGCCGGGCAGACAGGCCGGGTCACCAAGGGACGGATCAACACCGCCGGCGCCCCAAGGCGGGGAAGGCAAGGCTAGGCTAGGCTGGGCTGGGCTGGAAGGCGAGACACTTCCCCCCCTCACGGCAGCTAGAACCCCTTCCCGCTGGGAGACAACTGTCCACCCTCCCATACCGGTAGTCACTGCAGGCTTCCGGCTCCACATCCCCAGGGCCGGGCCGAGCTGTGCGGTAACCTCGCTGCGGCCGCTGACTGGAGCTGCAGCGGGGCGGCCCCGCTTTGACACCGCCCTCCTCCCCCTGGCGGAGGCGGTGCTGCTCCGCCTCGTTTTCGTGCTCACGGAACAAGCGGTGGAATGTTGAGGGGAGTGGCGGTGGTGGTTAGGGACGGCCCTGTGCCGGTGCCGCAGTACTGTCAAAATGCTTTATTACCGTGTTTTACCAGTGCTCCTATGGACAATGAGCCCTCTTTTCTTCATTCTCTGTTTTTTGCTCATTTCTCTTCCCATGCTGTCTCTCTTTCCAGGCCAGGTTTCTTTCTGGAGCTGAAGCTAAAAGCCCTGCTCTTCAACTGTGTTAGTTTTGTTTGTAAACATATTTTCTACGGGGAAAAGAGGAAAATTTTGCCTTTTTGATAACAAAGATTTCTGTAGAAATTCCACACATCCACGTGTAGCTGAGAAGAGCAAAGTGTGCCTTGAAGAGCAGGAAAGGCAGAGGGAGAAGATGGCTGGCAAAATGAACTCTGCTGCTGGGTTTGTGGAAGTTTTTGTAACTTGTTTTTGTTTGTGGAAGTTTTTGTGTATTGTTTTGGACAATACTAGGGCTCTCGGTGTCTCTTGCGAATAGGTCAGCCTACAGACATAACCAGCGCATGCTGATCTAGAATGGTCACAGAAACTGTCCCTCACAGCTGGGAGTTGCATTGTGTTTGCCTCTCTGGTTTGTGCCAAGTAAACACCCACTGTTGCTTAACAGCAAGTGCACACACTGTTGCTTAACTTACAAGCTACTGAAAGCAAATTCATAACAGCTTTTCAGGTAAGATGGAACTGCTATAGACTAATTATCTGACAAGCAACTTCATTTTGGCTTATCCAGTGGAATTAGGGACTGCCCCAGGAAAAAGACCCCTGTGGTAGAGGCTTTTTAGAGCCAATGTATAGACCCTATACAGAGCACAACTGCCAGAAGGTAAACTTTATCCTTCCTCTAGCATCTGGCTATTATTCAACATGTACTTTTCAGTGTATTTGGAAATAGAAAAGTTGGGTTTGTACTTGGTAGCCAGTATTGATTGATTGATTGATGGCTTGGCTTCGCGAGCGAAGATTTGGGAAGGGCTTTAACCACACTTACTACAAGCACAATGGCCAAGGGCAAGTGGGATATCCAAATCTAATTGGAAAAAAGGCTGCTTAGGCAATCAGGAAGTGTTTGACCACGACTGTCAACTCCTGATCCAATTCGAGCTACCCATGCGCTGGTCCGCCCACGTGCAGTGTTGAATCTGCAGCTTCCCATGCGCCTTGTCACCTACCGTTTAGACCCTCTCCCGTCCATACAGACGAGTGAGAGTAAGCCCTTCCAGCCTGTGCAGTGGATTTTTAAGATGAAGCACAGCTTGAGCAGAAGTGGCCCCACCCTTTAAACCTGAGGTTTAACTGCCATGGCCTAGTTAGCTAGGATGGTGTTTGTGGTGATGTGTTGGGTTTTTTTTTGTTATTTATAGCCAGTGAAGCAGTAAGGGACTAGAGCACGTGGGAGAATGGAGGTATATGAATACTTGAAATTCAGGCTCTACAGACTGCAGTAGGGAGTTTCAGATAGTCACAGTCTGTATCAGCTATCTTGGGCAGAATGTGTTAGTCATACTTCTTAAACTGCGTCTCAGTTTCATTCAGCTCTCAGGGGCCTACCCATATAGTTACTCACCAGTGAGTATTTCTGTGAAAACTCACTTCCTGAAGATACAGCACGGCAATAACAGACATGGGTTTAACAAAAGTGGGTTTTTAGACATGCTTTATTCTTGTGTTTTGGTTGTTGTAAATCTCCAGTTATGATGCATCTCTTGAATATCCACAAAGTCTTCATGGGCTTTAGTCTCTGTTTTTTAAAAGCCCTCTGGCCTTGGCCTGACATCTTCATTCTGCTAGTAGCTTACAAAAAATCCTTCTAAACCAATCTCTTACCACCTTCACTTCTGAGCTTTCAGGGGAAACTTGCCATTACACAATTACTTTGGCCCTGTGTAAACAGTCATTCAAGATCAGTGTCTTTTTTGGTATCAACTTTGTTGTTCTACTGGATAGGGTCATTTTATGTCAATATTCCTTGATGGGACCATCACATTTCCTCAACATCATCTATCCACTAGGTGTCACATTCTTGCTGTGTGATGAATTCTTAACTGTTACACTTCTTTTCTTTCTAAAAGGTTCTCATTTTGCTAGCCATACATAAAGGTTAGCCCATAACTCCATGTTCACAAAAGAAAACTAGGATTCATAAGTAGATGGTGGATGTGCCTAAAATGTAATCTGCATACACATACACTGCTGGCACAGTGGAAACACCACTATGGCAAAAGTAAATTACCTTGTGCCAAGCACAGTGTTGCAGTGATTAGAAATTTTCCATTAGGAGGATTAGCTAATTTAAAGATGGATCAGGTATGCCCACACTAAATTGCAAACTGCACTATCACCATAGCTAAATATAAATCCCAAGCTTGTATCCATTTGTGACTGTAGTCCAGTCTCGTGATTCTGTTAGCTGATTATAGCATTTTAATGGTCTGTCTCTGTCACAATGCAGACTGTATCCAGAGTATAATGGATGAGCTGTAGAAAACAAAAAAGAATCCATCAGAATTTCATGAGCAGTGGATTTTTCTTTCTGTGGTTAACCCTCTTCTCCCTGGACTAATAACTGCCACAATACTTAACTAAATTAACAAGCTGTTAACCTACTGTGAAGTGAAATTCTCTGTTACACCTGGTTGAAACTCTGCTCACATAGCTAAGTCCATCCAGCATCTCACTACTACTAAGAGAGTGAGATCTCACTTTCAGTCCACCATTACCCTGTGCCCTCCTTGCCAGCTCTAAGGCTCTGTGCCATTTTATCACTGCCTTTGGCACTCACCAGATCTTTTCCTGAGCCCATGCAATTTATTAGCTCCACAGAAATCTACCCCCTTTTGACTGGTTTTGCTTTGTCCTATTTTTAGTGATCAAATAAACTTGGAGAAAGACTAGATAAGATCAAGAGCTAGCACAAGGTAAGCACTTTTCCATACAGCAAACCTTATTAATTCAAATGCATATAGATAGATGTATGGTATGACAACCATACCCTATATAATCACATAAATGAGATTAATATTGGCTCTTATCTGAAGTTACACATAATAGCAATCATTCTCTTCTGATTTACCTTTACCTAGGTTTTGAGGTATACTGAAACACTGTGTTTTCATAAAAGTAAGGAGCAATTAACAGTAAAATATACTTTTCATTCACAAGCTAATGACATACTGTAAAATGGACGATGGGACACCTAAAGTTAAAGGCTGTCATGGTAATTACATTAAAACTTTAGTGACTAAATTTAAATTTATGTATTTGTCAGAGTAAGATGACTAGAAACTATATTGTGCAGCCAATTATGTATCTATATAACACATATAATTGGTATGCGTTACTAGATAGCAGAATTTACACATTCTAACCAAATGGGCAGAGACTGGACTCATTTGTAGCCATGGTGCTGTGACTGATGCTGTGCCTCACATGTGGTACAGACTTTCAGCTGATTGTGGTTTTCGAATAGCTGTTTTAACAATATCTCTGCCTGGATTTAGGAACCAAAGGAAGATTTTGCTAATACTTTGGTAGGCTGCTAAATTATGATTGTAGCAGAAAGAGCTTAACTAAGGTTTGGGAGAGGCAAGTTCAAGAATTTAGTGTTCAGTAAAAGTCCTTCCAGCCACTACCTTTGAAGTAACTCTGAAAGTAATGCCATGACAAATCCCCTTACAGTCCTACTCTGAGAGCTCTGAATTATGAATGGGAATGGCCATAGGATGGCTGAGGAAGTTAATGATTCCAATTGTCTTTCACCCTTTGTGACTCAATTCAGGTGCCATTCAGCTTGCTGGATAAGCGCAGCATGAATGAGGCTTTAAGGCCTATCCGAATCAGAGAGCAGGAATACCATCAGCTGATCCAAACTACATCAGATGTGCACATCATTGTTTTTGTTGTGCTTCATGAAATATTTCATGTGTTCTTACAAATAACTTCATAAAAGTATCTATATAAAATGAAAATACCACATCTCTACTTTATGTGGTCCATTTTACTCTAACTTAGAAGTAACTTGAAGCATAACTTGGGAGCTTGTCTTTTATGGAGTTCTCAATTATAAAAAGTTTTTCTAGCTGATTCTTCATACTGTCATAAATTGATTTCTCTAGGGAAATAATGCTGGCAAAACAATCAGAGATTTGACAGCTGTCCAACAGTTTTAAATCTGAAGACTCTTATCTGCTTTCCTTTTGTACAGTATACACTATTGTGTTGTATGATACATTTGCAAGTCTGCATATAACTTCTTTGTTTACTTACTATGCCTTAGTATGAACTGTACATCTGTTCATTTGACTGTTCTCACCACTGCTTGGAAAATGACAAAACTAGTTAAATCCATTAAACTACAGATACCCTACTTCTGTTAATTTCTGGCCTATTCCTAAAGGCCCAAGCTTGTCATTATTACTGCTTTCTGTCTAGTTTGCATACTACATCTACATACTCAGAAACGTAGCTTCCCCTTCATTTTCAGATAGCCCCCAGTTGATGCATATGGGTATCTACTCATCCGAGACTCCAAACCAGAAATTAAAATCACAAGCCTTGAATAAAGCTCTCTTAATTTTTTTGACCAAAATAAAAATGTGATCACTGGATTTTGCAAAATGACGAAACTTGTCCCCTTAGAAACCAACACCACCAAGAACAAAATATTGAACAAATGAAAATAATACCATTTGAAATAATCAGTGAAACACTGCAAAGAAATCACTGAAGTAATACTTGCTATTAAAGAAAAATTGGATGAGTCAAAAGAGAAAGTCTTTTGCTGTGCTCTCCTCTACAGGCCTAGTGAACAAAGCATGGCAGTACAGGGAGGTGTGCATATGCTGTCGTTAAAAGACTGCATGTGCTGATCTAGTTCAACGTGTACTTTTATATATCTTGTGAGTTCCTTGAATGCAAAGTCTGGTACAGTTTTTCACCATCTGAGTCTGCGTGGGTCTGAAGTGCTGTTAGAAGTGTTCAGAGCATGGGGTAATAAAGATACATGGTGTATTGTCAGTTCTGGGGAACACAAGGCACTCTGCATGCCTTAAAAACCCTTAAAAATCTTTTTTCCTGGGGGATCTAGTCATGTACTGCAAACAGAGTTTGAAATGCATTCATTTTTTTCAAGAAAAATAAAGTTGTATTTTGGTAATGTGATATAACGAGGTCTGTGTTCAGTTCACATGTAACAAGAGTGACGGGTGTCGGTACAGGCAATCTCAGTTAGTCCATCCTGGGTGTTAGGGGGTGTAACGTAAAGCTGTTACGTGAGTCACTGTGAGTCCCTCTAGTATTTATGTAAGGCCCTAGAGCTCATGGGAACACAACGCTTAATATATTACTGCAGTATTGGGGTGGGGGACGCTCTACATGAGGATGACAGATGAAGGCTTCTCTCTTCTGTGTAGGGCCATGTATTGGAGGTGTGCACCCTTGCCTTATCAGGCTGTGTGGCAAAACACTCCCCCAGAGGTCACCTATGGTAGGCAGGCCCCCTGGGCTGGGATGCAGAATAGGATGGACCAGCAGTGCAGGCAGGGCTTACTTGGCTGTTAGAGGCAGCCACAGCTTCTTCCCAGGCACATAGGGCTGAAGACTCTGAGAGAAGCTGCAGTGCTATACTAATAGCACCAGTTCCCTGTACTACAGAAGGGAACTATGTGGTGAAGGCTAATGTTGAGGTGTGGGAGGATTAAATATTCTATTGCTTTATTAAATCCACACTTGCAACAGTATCTATCAGTCTTTCTCACTTAACTGAAAGAGAACTTGTCTGCTCTTCTGGACACTCTGGAAATACTGGTAAATACTTGGTGGCTGTCAGCACTCATTTATGTTGTCACTCTGAAGCTAGCAGCTTACTGACAAAAGTAAGAGTAAGAAGCAGGGTTGGTCCTGGGTCTCAGCTGAGACAGCTTGTCTGAAATCCCAGCTCCAGACTAAATGGAATGGTTTCACGTGTCCATAAGTAGTCACCACGCCTGTGCAACTGCACAAGAAACACAGTCAAGACATTCCCTCAAGCACTTACAAGTGGCTAGTGGTAAGGGCTGAAAGACTGCCCTTAGCGGTGTATGACGACCGTCTGTAGAGAGATGGGTTTCCACATGCCAGACAGATAGGACCTGTTGGAAATTTGTGTGTCTGGAAATATGGATCCGTGCAACAACTGGCAGAACAAACTATTCTGGGTCTGTTCCTGCTTAATATGGTTGTGTATTCTGAAACCACTGAGAATGTATGCAGCTGCCGTGTTTTATCAATTCAGAGAAGTTTTAAACTCACACTAACCTAGGTTTGAAACACTCCAATCTAAAACATTCTGGGCATTTAACATTCTTAAATGCAGAGAGATAGGTAAATGGCAGAATTAGCATAAGTACTGGCAATATGAGATGGTGTAATTACAGTAGCTCACACTGAAGGTAATGATCCACTTGGCAACAATGACATAGCATGCTGTAAGACTACAGATACCGGCATCATCTATCCAGAACAAGGATACACTGTGAATGTGTTTAGGTTTTCCATATCCCTTGCTTACACAACTGTTAATAAGAAGCAATACTGAGTTATCAGATACTTTAGACTTGTTCCTTAATCATTAGTGAAGTAATTCACACACCTTTTTCTGACATTTTTAAAGAGGACTTCAAGATTCAAAGGTGAAAGGCATTTTGCCTTCAAAAGACAACAGCTGTGCCTCAATTAGTTAAATGGTCTTTCAGGAGGCCCTAATATATTTTTTGGATTTTGTTGTATGACCAAAGTAATGTTGTGGGACAAATACTAAGGAAAACAACATAAGTTTTCCAAAATCATTGATTACAAAAATGCAGAGCTCTTACGGTAGATGTAGTATTACTTGTATTTGTAGATATTAACATCTTCCTGGATTTTGTTATCTAGATCTGTAATTGTTTTATGGGCTTTTGTGGTTGTTTTTTTTTTATTTTTGTTTTTTGTTTGGTTGTTTTTTTTAATTTGTTTGTCATGGGGCAGTTACATTTAATTATTGATTTATTCACTATGTCTCGTTATTCCACTCTCTGAGGGATGCAGTGGATAATAAAGTTAGTTCACCAATTTGTTTTTCTAATTTCAAAACCCCTATACATTTATTTGTTATTTAAAATGTACATCGAATCATCAAATCATAGAATAGTTTGGGTTGGAAGGGACTTTCAAAGGTTATCTAGTCCAGCCCCCTGCAGTTTCATGTTTGGTACAGGAAATTTCAACAGCATCTGAACATACTTGAATAAGGAGGAAAATCATGAAGAAATTATAGTTCTTTAAAAGACCAGAAAAAACAATACCTGAAACTTTAACTGGAACCTTTATTAAAGTTTCTTCCTTACTAGGTACCAAATCAAGTAAAAATGTAATCAAATTCATGTACCCAGTACTGTATAGTGTGGAATCTGCTCTTGCGTAACCCACACATACATGATTTTTTAATGTGATTTATTTGTATTGGCTCCACTAAGTTCAGTCCATGTAACTGAAGTATAAACTTTTGGGAGGTGTACATCAATGCTCTGACACATCTAGGTAAGGAATTGATTACCCAGACAGGTTTCTCCACATGTCTCTTACCTGATGGAGTGTCAGCTGGAGCCCCTTGGGTGACCTTTCAGCTGCCACTCACAGAATTCATCTGCATCATCTAGTGCCACTTGACACACCCTTGGGTATCAAAGCTATCTGCAGAGGTCTGGCAGATACGCCGCAAGACTAATGGTGGGTCTGCAGCTTTCTGAAACAGCTGGAGGACAGGAGAGATATACCACGTAGCAACTAAAATGGTACTAGACAGCTAATGCTTAAGCAGTTTATTTAGTTTTTTGCTTCTCCGGTGAGGTGGGCACTTCAGTCTTTTGCTTGAGAGAGCAGTGCTCTGCATCAACCTCACAAGCCAGCAGTTCTTTGCACAAGAAGTTTCCCATCAAGAACATGATTATGTAAGTTGTTCTCATTAGGATTGTCAATAAGCATATGCGATAATTTTGTTTCACACAGCCTCCAGTAACATCTTCACAGAAATAATATTTGGTAATACTGTTAATAAATTGAATGTCTAGGTACTTAACTCATTTCAGGCATGTGCTTCTACATCATATCACCATCAATTACTTCTCCCTTCACAGAATTCTAATTCCTTGATTTCTGTTATTGCTCCAGCAGTACAAACCATAATAGAATTTTGGGTGCACCTACAAAGAAAATACATTCTATTAAACACTCACATATGTGTGTTTACTTAGCCACATACGAGTAAGCATATGGAATGTTTTGACAAGAGTAGACTTCAGAAGTTTCCCTTTCCTCCTCAGACTTGTTCTACATGTCCAAAATACCTACACAGCAAAATCAAGATGTGCCTGTAGCATGAGGAAGTGTATGTGTGCTATCTTTAATCCAGTTAGCATAGTTACAAGCAGCAGTGAAGATACAGCAACACAGGCCAGACAACACATTGTATAAATTGTACAACCCATACAAAAATCTAGCAATATGCTCTGAACCTTCCTGTTGTAGTTTTTTTTCCAGCTTCTAGCGATCAGTGACCAAAGGTTTGAGGTGAGGTTTGTATCTGGCTGCTATCTTCAATGGCAACCAACAGCCACCTTCCATTAGCCAACCTACTCCCTTTTTCATAGTACTGGCTCCTCAGACTGCAACAGCATCCCACTGCACTATTTCTGTCACATGAAAATGTAATTCCTTCTGCTTTTTAATCATCTGTTATATGATTAACAGGATGCTCCTAAATCTTGTATTGAAGCAAGACTGCTTGCTTATTTACCTTTCCAAACTATCCCTTGCTTTAAAGATTTTTCTTGTGCTGCTTTCCATTGTCACTCTTCTAGGCCAAGAATTCTAACCTGTTTAACCTCTCCATACATGGCAGCTACTCACTACCTCTGAAAATCCCTGCCACCCTTCCTTCAGCTTTTTCTTGTTCTAGTCTACTATACCTTTTTCAAAATGGTATAAGCATAACTCCATACAGGAGTAAGAATACTTCAGCTCAAATTAAAATGCTTTAGTTTATTCCTGTTGTATACTTTTACTAGTCTAGGACTAAACCAAAAAGATTAATTCATGTAAGGAATTAACTTGCAGCTATAGTATACATATAAAAAGGAGGAGTATCTCCCTGTTTATCTATAAATATTGGTATTCCCATAAATTTGGTAGTGATTGGCCTCTCCTCTGCATAATGGTGCCATTTTTGTAACTGACTAAAGAAAACCAAGAATAGGGAGCTACTCAATGTTACACAGGATTTACTGTTCGTAAAACAACACATCTGTAATCAAAGACAAAAGTTCTGCTGAAACCAAGGTGCCAGGCAAACCACATCCATTTTAAAATCTGAAAACATATTCAATAGCAAGCCATTTGTATTGCACAAAGCATAGAGAAAAGCAAGATGAGACCAAGTGCCTGACTTAGAAGCGTATCCAAGCAACAGCAGTAAGACTCAAAAGAAACAGGTCATGTGAAGAGAAGCACCAAATTTAGTAATCAAATATATATTCAGCAGCAAAGACGAAGAAGGGTTAGGGAAACAACATCAAGAAAAATGAGAGAAATTAAAAGATTCCTCAGAAACTGTTCCTGAGAACAGTTTCTGAAGCTGGGAAACACTTAGGGCAAAAGCTCTGCACTTGGTTGCAACAGTGCAACTGAAAAGAAATTCCGTGACAATTAATGGAGTTAAATTGGTATGAAACATAAAATAACTCAAAGCAGATTTTGGTCCACTATTCTATTTTTGATCAGCTTTATCCCAAATGCTTGCTAAGAGCTGTGGTTGATTTGGTCTCTCTGCACATGCAGATGGAAGCCATGATGTGTTAAGAAGTTGGTACACAAGTAAAATGGCGCAACTTTTACTGACATCACAGGGTCTTGCAGGCAGACATTGGGATTTGCTTTTAATCCTAATTAGGTCAATGACAAAACTCCTCTACATCACACAGAATCAGAGGCTTGATTTAATGAAAAGGTGTGACCACAGCTGCCGCTGGTATCCCATCTGGATCTAGTCAGTTCAGCTGAAGAACTTGTTCACCAAGGAGCTTACCTGGAAGTGTGAACAGCTAGCTGTCTTGAGGCACAGATGTGGTAACACTATTCCACAACCAGTTAGGAAAAAAATTATACTCTCTTTCTCTCTGTAAAACCTTTACTCAATTTCAGAGACTGTCTTGTTAAATCCTTGAATGCTCGTGGAGGGCATTTGTTGTAATACTGGAGTTTCTGCTACTTCAGATGCACCAACTCTGCCATTCACAAGAGCCATTTCTTCCACTGCTGAATTGCAGATTTTTCCACCTTTGGCCAAGCTCTGAGCAATGTGAGCTCTCCCTGCCCAACACAGAGGCAGATCATGCAGCTGTGACAGATAATAGCTGCAGGACAGCTGAATTAGGACCTCAGCTGGAACTGAAACACACAGCATCCAGGAAAGGAAAGGGCTGCCTCTGTGAACAGCAGGGTCACTTTTCTTCTCCTCCTACTTGGCTCAAGACTCACCAGGAGCTGTGCTCTTGAGGTTCCCTGCCTCTCACAGCAACAGTTTAGCACCGTTCTGTTGCTGTGGGAAGGAGTAGTTCCAAAGCCAGCCCTCTTCTGAAGTCCTGTGGAAAATACCAGTGGGAGAAAGAACCCTTTTCCCTCAGAATTAATAGTGTATTTTCATCCAGAAGGAAAAAAATACATACATACTGCCATATACCATAGCACTTTGAATGGTAAGATTACGTAAATATGTATTTAATTTTAAATGCAAATTCATCCTGTAGATTTGCTGTCTCTGAAAACAGCTATTGACTTTGCTCTGTGGGCACTGCTGAAAACAGTGGGCAGAACAGAATTATCTAATCATTCTAAATTCTCCTTTATTTATCAGTAACCATCACAGTAAAAAATACTGACTGAAATCCAGACAAGCATGACAAGGCTGGGGTAAGAACTAAGGTAATGTTGTATAAAGGGTAGCACTGTGGTTTGAATGCAGATGCAAAGGTTGAGTATAGTTTGGAAGGACAGCATGTATCTGTGTGATGGCACCCATCAAACAAACAGCAAAAAAGCCAGAGAGCAAGAGAAGCAACAGTTGTATGTTACCAAGAGAAAGTCAGAAGAACAAACTGTAAAAGAACAAACTGTAAGCAATCTGCCTCATGTTGCTCGATTCTTCCCTTTTTCAGAGCAATAAAGACTTTGCATACATTTCTTGTAAATAAAAACAGTTCACCACAGATATCTGGGTTCTCTGTCACTGCATTACCTCATTTAAAAACAAACAAACAAAAACCCAACAAAACTTACAAGGCTGAATTAAGCCAGTGGCAGAGGTTACAAATGGGAAAAAATACTTCTGAGTTTAAGCAGTTACTCATCTTGACATTGCCTTATAAAAGTTATCTTTATGTTCCACTCTACTACTACTTACTACTATTTTCTACCAGCTAGAATCAGTACAAATAATAAATATTCCTTTTTGCCTTATTGAGCCCTAATGATTTATTAAAAGATAACAAAAGAAGGAACAATTTAATTTCACAAGAAGAAACAACAGTTAAAAAATTGTAACCAAACAGATTTACTGACTTTAAATATTGCTTTCAGTATTCTCTTCACACGCACAAAGAAAAAAATTTTACTAGTAAAGGTAATTATTGTTTACTCTTGTTGTATACATAAATAACTGGGACTCAACATGGCTGGAAAACTATTAGTTATTTGTATTAATCTGGTTAAAAATACTCAGAATTTATTATTTTATGTCAAGAATAGAGAAGTATTAAAAATAATATTTTTGGCAAAAAAAAAAGCCTACAGAAGGAAATCATTTCTCAAGAGTAATGACTGGAAATTCTCAGGTTCAGAGCTTACCAAATACCAAGTACAATATCCACAAGACACTTCTTATGTTTACCCATGGCAGATGTTTGAAGATTGTTGAGCAGTTGTGTATTACAACACACGTTTTAAGGTTAGAAAAAGAGATACAGTTTTATGTATGAAGATAACTCCAAAACATTGCACGAGTTTGTACTTACAAGCAACAGGGTTAGGGTGAGATCAGTGCGTGGTGACAGGGGTGGCCAGGATCGACTTTTTACCAAGGCCTTTTTACCTAGGACAAGGGGAAAAGGTTTCAAACTGAAAAAGGGTAGATTTAGAGTTTATATAAGACAGATATTTTTTACAATTGAGTTTGGTGAGACACTGAAAAAGTTACCCAGAAAAGATGTGGATGTTCTGTCATTGGAAGTGTTGAAGGTCAGGTTTGATGGGGCTTTGAGCAACCTGGTCTAGTGGAAGGTGTCCCTGCCCATGGCAGGGGGGTTGGACTAGATGAGCTTTAATGGTCCCTGTCCAACCCAAACCATTCTACAATCTTATGACATTAACAACAATAGAAACATAGGGCTCAGAAGGGTCCTTAGATGGTCATACTGATAGGCAGCTCCACTACACCTATAAAATATCTGTTTATGGACGATATGTACATAGCCAGTTCTTAAAGACCCCATAGCCTGTTCTTGACAGACCCTGACCACACCACTGGCAATCTTTTTTCCAGTACCTCTAGCCTTGAAAAATGTTTGTCCTAATGTTTAACCTAAAATATTCTGGTTGTAATTTCTGGCCCTGGTGGGCGTAGAAAACAGGTTATTCCCATCTTATCAGTAACTTCTCACATGTTTGTGGACTGTTTATGTTGTCATTCTTGTCATTCTTTCCTAATTAAACAATCTGAAATAATTCACTGTTTCCCTTAGACCCCTTCACATTCTGTTTACTCTGCAGGTGGTCCACATCCTTCTTCATGTGTAACATCCGAAACTAGCTTTACAACTGCTAAGCAAAGCAGAATTCCTTGCCAAGTCTTTCAGACTCTAATCCTCGTAATTCATCCCAGCAGGTCACTTACTTTTTTTCTTTGCAATAACAAGCCATGGTTGACTCACACCAGCCTGTGACCACTCAAAGCCTGAGTTACTGTTGTACAGAACTGCTGCCTACTTAGTTTTCCCAACTGGTTGATTATTCCTACTGTTTTGGTTGACTAGCTTCCCATTTTTTTCATATTTCTAATTGAAGATCTTTTTTTTTTTTCTGTCCCTGTCCTACAGCATACTTACTCCTTCCCAGCCTGATAGATATGTGAACTCAGTAAGCATTTTCCCTTTCACGAGTATTCATCGAGGTCACCAGATTCAGGATCTGTGCAATCCAACTTGATGCACATTTCCATTTTATCAGAGAACCACCCCCTATTCTGGTTTTCCAACAAGCTTTGCATGCACCTAGCTGCAGATCAATGCAGAACACTTCATTTATTTGCTTATGGGAATCTCATGAAAAGTTGCCTGAAAATCAAGACATATTGCACATACAGTTTTTCTCTATCCATAAGGTATGTCAAGCTGTCATAAAGGCAATCAGACTTTTGAGACATGATTTCCTGTTGATGGTGTCCTGGGTTCAGCAGTAGCAGTCATTTTTCCCCTTCTTGGTAGCTGGTGCAGTGCAGTGTTTTGACTTTCAGCTTGGGAACAGAGCTGATAGTGATGTTTAGGTTTGGCCAAGGACTTTGTGAGCTTCATGCTCTGCCAGGGAGGAGGGGAAGCCAGGAGGAAGCAGAGACAGGACACCTGACCCAAACTGACCAAAGAGGTATTCCATACCACAGCACGTCATGCCCAGGAGGTAACTGGGAGTTAGCCGGAAGGACTGGGGGACTGCAGGGTTGGAGGAGGTATCGGTCAGAGCTTGGTCGGGCTGGGGGGGCGAGTTATCGGTTGGCTGGTGGTGAGATGATGTATTCTCTTCCCTTGTTATTTCCTTTATCATTATTATCATTGGTGGTAGCAGTAGTGATTTGTGTTATACCTTAGTTACTAAACTGTTCTTATCTCAACCCGTGGGAGTTGCATTCTTTTTGATTCTCCTCTCCGCCCCTCCGAGAGCAGGGGGAGGGCAAGAAAAGGGGGGGAAGTGAGCGAACGAGTTACCTGACTGGGTTTAAACCACGACAGATGGTTACTCATACCTATGTTATTTTTCAGAGATGTAGAAACATATTTTTCACTATTTTTCTAGAATTGGAATGAATTTGCTTAATCAATAATTTCTTACTTTCTCTTTTTTTTTCTCCTCCCTCTCCTCTGCCATGCTTGTCACTTTACAGCCTCCCTCTTTCCTACCTAACATCCATAATTTCTAAAAGCACTGATTATTGAGTCTGAGATTCTGACAGCAAAATCTTTAAATATGCTGGGGCAGCTAAAGAGAGACTTGAGGTATATTTGAAAATACCTGACTTAAATGTTCTACCCTTTTCTTAACTGAAGCTAATGCATTAGTTTCCTTATTTTACTGATCTTTTGTAGTAAAGTCTAGAAGGTACTGCCTTCCTGACATCTTTTAGTCTTCTCACTTTAGCATTAGAGAGCCCCTTCTACTTCATACAGTTAGTGGGCTTCCAGAGTGATGTGTTGGGGTTTTGTTTGGGTTTTTTTGCTTGCTAGTTGCATTTCATTTCATGCTTGTGCCTTTCTGTAATCAAATCTAGAATAGCCTATTGCTGTGTGGACTTCTCCAGAAAGCCTAGAAGGTTCAGCTGTCTTCATCTTGCATGTTCATGTAGGTATTCACATTCACAGCTGAGGATGAGAAAACAGCAGGTTGTGGCACAGCGACATAGCTTACATTACACACCCTGTCTCATGCAGCTAAAGGTCTCATGGGCATGGGTTCTCATAGCCAGCTCATCTGACCCAGGCAGACAGTCACAGCACCCTTCCACCCACCTGAAAACATGAGAAACCTGAAAACAGTCACTCCTCAGCCACTCCTGGATCCAGGAGGGAATTTCAGCTTAATCACATGTGAGTTTAAGTATGACAAAATGGAGGTCCTGGCTAGCAACACAGCCTGTCACGGCCTCAGCTGTTGCTGAAACTGATGTATTAATAAAGATGTATTTAAGCAGCCCTCCTTGCAGTTCACTCACTTCTTGGAGCACTTAAAACTTGGCCTCCCCAGAGCTGACTCTTACACGCAGTTGCTCAACTTCTTACTGCAACTGCTGCGGGCATGGTTTCAAAATGATGCTATTCAGGCTCTAAGTGCAAACCCACTCTGAGATGTTCTAAATAGCAATGCAGTCAGGACTGACATTTGCCTTGATTGCATGACACGACCGTGGTAAAGTAACCAGCAAAACTCTTCTTACAACTCTTCTCAATTGCACCTCTTTCATTCCAGTGCCAGGCTCACAGAGACTCTCCTTTGCCCCAGCCATTCACTCCACAACCACCCCCTCACAGTCATGGCCACAATGTCATTGGTTTCCCAGACCACAGACAGCCTGCTCCCAGAGCAGGATCAGACATGAGTCTTGGAAGGAGCACAAGAAAGCTTTCCCTTCTGCAGAGCAAGAACCTGAAAGGATGAGAGGCTTTGACAGATGGTTTCCCTTGTGCAGGGCAGGCCTCATGCACACGGACCACGGCAATACACTAGCTGTGCTTTGAGGAGGGTCTCCCATGTCATCAGCATCCCTCACAGCTTCCAGGAGTTTGGGCATCTGTAGAAATAGCCTCCTTGTACTCACCAGAGCCAGAGACATACTGTTGTGAGATGTTGGCCAAATTAACGTGAAAGAGGACTTCCAAGAGTTGAACAATTCCTGGTCAACCTACACTGATTTTAAATTTTTTTCCCACACCCAGATATGTCTAGGAAACAGGGTAACATGAAACAATCACACTAGGAACATAACAAGCATGCTGCCACTGGTCTCAAACTCCAGTACCCAAGGGGGCACCTTGACAGTCTACAAAGCAACAAGAGAGAGACAAAGTTGAGTAAGCTGCTTGTGGGCTGCAGTGCCCCTGTAGACCACTGGTGTCTTAGGCTGCGCAATAACATGAATCTCTAGACTCTACCCAAGACTAACATGATTATGACTCTTCCTTTCTTCACTGACTGAAACATCCATGGTCAGATTGCCATCATACTGAGGTCCAGAACCAGGTAGCAGAGGCTCAGCTGATGTGAGGATTCCTCACCCACCTGAGCAACACCAAGCGCTCCTCCCAGAGAAACACAGACAACACGGTGCCAGGCAGACTTTGTCATTAACACATCCTGAAAGCTGGTAAATCTTTAGTCCTCAAGCCCTATTTGGGCTTCTGCTCAGGCTTTGCCACAGCTAGCTTCAATACCTGCAGATCCAGGCCCTCTCAGGCACTTGACAAATGTCACGTTTCTCCTCTGAAGAAGCATGGCAGGTAAGTTAAGTCCTCCAGTGACAGGCATGGATTGGAGCTCCCAGGGACAACCTATGACAGCTTCAAGTTCCCCTTGCCCTCACAAACAGGTTTATTTGCAAAAACCAATCACATTTATTCTGCTTTCTCCTTGTTACCCCGAGTCCTTGCAAAATGTCAAAATAAGGTGGCTCTCCTTTTCAACCTCAGATGTAGGGCTCAAGTTTTCAGCTGGAAATTATGGCTGAACTTGTGCAGCAGACACTCAGAGGAGGAGGATCTGTGGGAGCAAGAAATGAAGGGCCTGCAGAGTCTGCATGACAGTAAAAACATGCTTGCTGAAACACCACAGGGATGCAACTGGTGTGAGCCCCTTTGCTCATGAGCTGGGGTGCCACCTTAGTTATTGCTGCCAAATCAGAATACGCACAGTATATGATGTTACTTTCATCACACTGCTGTTCTTACCATTTTAATATAAACAGCAAGCATAAACAATCTTTTCCCCTCAGTCTGTACATACTGGGCCAAGTCAACCTTCTCTATAGTTTTTGCTTAGATTGATTTTGGCAAGCTATTTGGGATGCAGTTTGGAGAAGTAGCTTCCTAAGTGAGTTGTTATAAAAAATGTGGCTGATGAACACTATGGGTCTCTTTTTTGTGCTTTATTAAATCACAAGCTTTTGCTGACAAGTAGCTGCTTCTGTTGGGTTGAAAGATTGGACGCATTCTACATATAATATAGAAATTCTCTATATTTGAAGACTATTGACATAGACACTAGTAGAACCCCAAATGTTAAGCAGCTAAGAGCAATGACAGTTACCAAGAACTGGCCTCTGACATAAACAGTCTCAAAGTTACTATGTGAAATCCAGAGTAAGCAAGATGGCTTTGACACTCCATTTCTGTAATGTCATCTGGAGTCCTTCTCTAGTGTAGAGACTGATAGTTTGTCTCTCAGTCCAGGAGAAGGGGGATTCATGAGGTCAGTTGTATAGCTTTCCCAGCAAAGGGAACTTGCTTTTTCTTCTGTTGCTAGCAGGAAAGATGTTTGTACTGAAAATATCTAATAAAGAAAGCTATAAGGATAGCAACAAAGCAAGCAGATATCTGTTGGGTTATTTTAGATTTTATTTTATTACTGAAAGAGTAAAGAGTTTAACCTTATCTATGTTAGGCAATAGGATCTGAAAATAAAATTCTGGCTTATAATAGCAACATTGGGTGACATATCTCTTATTAAACTAATTCAGTAAAGAGGGGCAGGTACAACTCTCACTAAAAATCAGCATAGAGAAGTGAGAGATCAAACAGTTGCAGGGACCATTCCTGTAGAGTCACAGACATTTTCAGTGTCCTGAAATTTCTTTGAAACATAAAAATAGGAAAACTCATCTGAACTATTCACTTCTTACTACGATACAGCAGTCCATTCATCTACACATCAGCCAACTGATGCATGACCCTTTTGTATCAGCATTATTACAGTCATTTCTTCATGCACATAAATACAGCTGATTTACCCAAATAACCCAATCAGTTCTAAAGGAACTGAGTAATTTCTCAGTAAAAGAAAGGGCTGCTTAAACAAATGCGACATAAACAAGTGTAACCAGTAAGTGCTTGTGTGAATAGAGAAAATTGTGTCTGAACACTTGAATGTTCCACAAGCAGGGCATAAATCATGTTTATGATGTTTTAAACTTACTATTCTGTTGAAATTAAGAAGGAAAAAACCCTTAACATTCAGAGCTATTGTTTCAGGCTGTTTGCAAATGTTTGCCTGTGGTCATGTATATCTGCTCTTACTGATATTCACATTTTTGGTAAATAAAATCTTTCAGAGCAATAATAAAAAAATACTCTCCAGAGAAACATGTCAAATTGCCAAAGCATTGTGACACAAACAAATTTAGCTGAGATTGTGTAATCTCAACAATCACTGTTGCTAAAATTGCAGAATGGTTTTACCTGAGAATAATTTCTATTGCCAAATTAACCTTATGCCTTTTGTCAAAGGATTTCAGAAATGGTAAGCAATCATCTCCGTTTTTCTAAATTGCTTCAGCTCTGTGGCAAAATTCAGAAGAAATGGCAGACTTAGAAACTTCTTGCCACGCCTTCCACTGACTGCACCTTGCTGTTCTATTTCAGTTAAGATTTGGCAATTCTTCAATATAAGTGCAGTTCTTGCGCAGCTGAGTAGTAACACAACCTATGTTGTGAAGACAATTACTTTCTAAAACTAGCACATCCCTTTCCCGCAGCACTCTCCTCCCCATAGACATGGTTGCACTTAAGTTTTTCAAAACGCTTGAAAATGAAAATCGCATCACTTGTTGTCGTCTCAGGGACAGAGAACGCCTAAGTTACATCCAGAGCTCCTAATTTGCTTCTTACATGTTAAAACAAACACAAACTACAAAAGTACTTCTTTACATTGAAGGTGGCAGAGCCCTGGAACAGGCTGCCCAAGGGGGGTTGTGCAATCTCAGTCTCTGGAGACCCACAGGGACGCGTTCCTGTGTGACTTGGTCTGGGTGTCCCTACCTTGGCTTGGCTTTACTGTCAGCTGTGTGCCAGCACGCAGGCCTCACTGCTCGCCCAGGGTAACCTAACCGCCCGGTGTTCGGTCCCGCTCAGTTCCGCGCACCTCCTACAGCGGGGAGGCAGCGAGCTGGAGATGCACTCCGTCACTAGATAGGCACATCTGGCCTACCGAAGCACTGACAGCACTTAACCCCTCCGCCCGGCGGCCTCTTTGGGCCTCTGCTGCTACTCCGGCGTCAGGCGGAGAGCTCAGGACCCACAAGCCGCGCCTTTGGATACGCCGCTCCAGTGAAACCCGGAACCCTTCCCTCCCCCTCCCCTCGCCCCATTCCTTCGCGTAGGCCTCCTCTGCCCGGCAAGGCGGCGGCGGCGGCGCTCTGGGCGCCTCATTGTACCGTGTGGGTGGCCGCCGCGGGGATGACGCAGCCGCGGGCGGGCAGGAAGGAGGGAGGAGCGCGTGATGGCCGGTGTTGTCGCGGTCGCGCTGTCCCTCGCTGCGCTGCCAGCCGTTGCCGCCGCCGCTCCTCCTCCGCTGCCAGCTCCGGGCCGCCGCGCAGCTGCCATGGCCGAGGAGGGGACTTCCAGCGAAGGGTGAGTCCTACCCGCGGCTGTCCGCGGCGCGGAAGCACGGAAAGGCTGCCCGGCTGTGCCCCGCCGCTACATGCATCGCTCGCCTGTTCCTCTGGCCGCAGCCCGCAACACCATCTTGCTGTGCCGGCGGTGGCTGATGCCGGTCCCGGGTGCTTCCTCCTCCCGAGCGCCCGGAGGGTCCCCACTCCGCAACGCCTGGCGAACGTGTTTGCTGCCTGCCATTTTTGTCCGGGCGCACGGGCCGCCCTCCTGCCTGCTCCGGCTTCCTCCTGCCTGTGCCCATAGGCGCATCCTCGCCAGGGCAGGCTGCTGGGGGCTTTCACACCAGCTCCGTGCCCCCGCTGCTTCATTTTCCGGGTCCCAGCTTCGCGGGTCCTGGTCCAACTCCTGCAGTCGCACACCTGCCCGCAGGTGTGTACATGCACATTTCACTGTCTCCTTTGCTTCGGTGTATGTACGCGCTGTTGTGGTCATCCACCCTTCCTCTGTACGTACTGCTGACCCATGCTTTTTGTGCCTTGCAACTTTACCTGTACATACAGCTATCCTATCTTCTCATTCTGCCTGTTGTATGCATTCATTAGATGTAAACAGTAAGGCCTCTGTGCCATCATTCAATCCCAGCTGCACAGGGTGCTGGGACATCCTGCCTAAAAAGCTTGGACCAGATGGTCCTTGAGGTGCCTTCCAACCTGGGATTCTATGATTCTGTGTAATGCTTGATACAAGTCAGAGATGAGAGCACATCTTTAAATTCCAAATCTATGAGCTGTTGCTCGGACTTTTCCCTCTTCTAGTAATGTATGCCTACCTTATCTCCAGCTGTCTCTGCTAACTTTTCCTTCATTATCCCAAGGTGTTCACATCTACCAGAATGGTAGCTCTGGCATGAATTATCATGTTACTGATCTTAACATATATCCCTAAAACTTGTTTGTAACTGCTTACTCACACCCTCAATATATGACATTGTCATAGCTGTTAATTACTCTTTTGCCAGAAAATGTAGTTTCGCACTATATATTTGTCTGTGCACATTAAAAGGGTGCCATAATAATCAAGTTTTAATTGGTGGTCTGCTCTTCCTCCATTCACATATTCTTTATCCATGTGCTTCTTCTCATACCTTATCTTTCAGTGCATGTTTTACTTCTTGTTGTACACTTCAGCTTCCAGTACAAACCTGCTCTTATACCCTTCTACTTCCCTCGGATATATTGTCTGCCCTCCTTTATCCCACTGTGGAATAATGCAGTCGTCCTGTCTCTTGAATCTGTTTACCAAATGTACTTAATATGTCTACTGGTGCCTTATCTCCCAGTGTGTCCCATCATATTTTATGGTTCTAGTCCAAAAAATACTCTGTCAAGAAGCTCTCTAGCTGTGCTCATGTATATATGCTTTATCCCCTCTGTCAGATGTGTAAATGTGCTTTGTGTGCACTGTTGACATGAAATTTTCCTGTTTCTCCATCCTGTAAATATCTGGTGGTGTATCTCATTGCTGACTGCCTAGCCCTCAGAAACTCATTTCTCGCCTTTTCTTCTCCATCTCCTTTTTCTTATTATTAAGTCTCATGTTATTTTGAGAAATTCCACTTAAAATTATTTAGCCACTTGCATGAAAATCATGCTGTGCATTCATGATTTCCTATCAAGGATGTTGCTGTTTATATGTTCTTATGTTATGTTTGCCTTTTCTGTTATCTTTCAAAACTACCTGCATTCTCAGCTTTGTTTTTTTTTTTTTTTCTTTAGTCCTTTTCCTGACTTCTGGCTTTGGTATTTCATCTTATATATTTAGCTGCTCTCCCAGCTCAATCTGACCAGAACTGGACTATCCAGCTTTTCCAAACTCCCTGTTATGCTTTTGTTACCATGTATACGCATTTTCTTTTCAGAAAATATAAACTTCAAGGGCCTTCCCTTTGAAAGCACTCTGCAGTTTCATCCACTCTCTAACAAGGTGCTCTCCTCCTTTCCTCAAACTTAAAATAGCTTTTTAAGCTATTTTTTAAGCCCCAGCCCTGCCTTTTGTAGCATTAACCATTTGAAGCTACAGTTGCCTTCTCGGTCAGGTGTTCTTTCTGACCCATTCACATTCCTAAACCACACATCATTTATAAAGCCTCTTATTGATGGTTTACTGGTTTTCTAAGTAAGAGTCTTAAAATAACTCTGCCTCAACCTGTTTTGTTTGTATGCTCGTTCAGCGCATTAGCTGGAACTGTATTACCTGTCGGGTTTGATCACACGGAGTGCCGAGCACTGCTGACAGGGTGCCAAGTGTGCTCGACTTCAGCAGCCTGTCAGGATTGCAGGATCATGACACTAGATGATCTGGACATAGGGTTAGGCTAAATTTTCAAATAGATGGAGGCAAGTTCCTCATCATGGTTTTCTCAGCTGGAGAGCTTTTAAAGGGAGTTGATTTTCAGGATGTTGTCAGTGTCCTACTTTGGAGCAGTTAGTCCATTTGATGTGAAAACTGTCAGAGTAAGCCCTGAATTCACTAAAGAGTTCCGAGAACAAAATCTCATCCTTCTTTTCCATGAGTTCAGAAGGTGCATTAGCTTTGATGTAATGTTAGTGCTCCAAATTGCTAGTACTTTTATCAGTCTGTTTCTAACAGAAGTCAAAATAAGCATTTCTTCCTCTTTTGAAACTGAGCAAACCTCTACACCCAGAGGAAATTTATAAACAAGTGAAATATTTTAAATATGTGTTGATTTCAAATTCCATGGCAGTGACAGGAGGAATTACAATATACCATCGCAACGCTGGATTTAACTTGTTAGTGACAGGCGTATATGAAGATTAAACATGAAGTTAACTTGATCTAAGTTGAAGAAAATAGCATGGGTCAACTTGTTAATGCAACACACTCAGTTTGTCACAGTCTGGTAACTGTGCAAGGCATGGTGAAAACCCAGTAGTGGCTGTGTTACTTTCTAGAAGACTTGAACTGAATGATGCTCATGACGTTGTCCTGACTTTCAATGAGGAGATTAACTAAATAGATGTTTTAGTAGTAGTCACAGAAGACCTTGCTTGGTTAAGATGTCACTTGCTAATGTTTTCCAAACCTCTTCACAGCGTTGGACCTTCTCTGCATAGGTTCTAGGTGTGAACTTTTGCCTGTGAGGCTAACAGCATAGCATAATCCTTTTACCAGTATTGAATTCACTTATACTCACTCTGGATTCAGCAGGACTGCTTATGGCTTATAACTGGGAATAGCAGCTACTAAATTGTATGTGTATATATATGGAAAAAAAAAAAATCACCAAACCAGAATGCTTGTTTTTTTTCCCCCTCTGAGATAAGTGAAATAGCTTTCCTTAAAACAAAGATTTAAAGGGATCTGCACTTACAAGCCAATGTGAAATTGCTTGTAAGTGGCCTGTAGTCTCATCAAAAAAATGGCTTGGAGTAATATAAGTAAAATAATAGGTAAATAGGTAAAACAATAGGTAAAAATATACACTGCAGCACCAGCAATCACAGTTATTTTCATATTATCCTTCAAGCTTGTTTGTATTATGGAATTCTTTATATAATTTCAAAGTGAGCTGTTTGATTAATAAAAGAGGAATAGTTATTAGGCTTAATAGAGCCTATGCCTACCTCTTAGTAGGATGGTTCATGGGGATACCACAGTGGTGTGTTAAAAGCATGATAGTACAGCATGAAGGGACACTTGCAACTCAGTATTTGTGCTTGATTTTTTGCTCGTATCATCATCTAGGTTTTAAAGCAAACTGAGTTGGTAGGCTGCTGAAAGCAGGTTTCTGCTTGGTTTCCTTTCCTTTAAAAGGAGACTATTTAAGGGCATTTCCTATAGCACAGGCAACTGACTGTAGGCATGGTACCTACAACTTGCATTTTTAAAAAGTGAGTGAGACATAAGTGCAGACGTGGATATCGTTAAAGGATGTTTCCTTTCTCTTTTTGCCAGCAGGGTAGTGTCAGTCATAGCTTCAGTGCTTAATGCCTTTTGCATTACATCTGTGCACTCATCTAAAAATACATGTGTGAGCAGGTTTTCAGGCCTTTATAGGATTGTTTCTAATGGTTTTCCTGACCTTGTATGAATCTGGGGAGAGAAGGTCTGTGTTTTTCTCTTCTCCCCCTTGCAGACTTGAGAGAAGGAAAAGTGGCAAAATCTAATAGGGTTTATCTCTTGTTCCAGTGGCATAAAAAAAATGGTCATGGTTCTGTCCCTGGAGAATGAAGAATCCCATCTAACTGCCCTCGTGAGAGGCTTGTTTAAATGCTATAAGGTATAGAACAGTAATGTTCAGCTTTTCCCAGCTGGCAACCATAGCCAAATATTATGGAAAAAAAATAATTGCAATGAGTGTATCAAAGTAGATGATCAATTCATCTCTTGTTACTCAGTTTTGGCTCCTTTTTGAATTCACTTCTTTATTAGATATTCTTTGAGCTCATGTTTAGGACAGAGATTTAAGAAAGAGTTTTCTATTTGTTAATTTTCTTCTTCATTTGCTTCACCCATTTCACACAGGTCCTCCATGGTTATGCCTGATGTACACATCTTTGTGTAGGGGTTTTCTAGATTTCAGTTAGACTCATGTATACATTTACTTACCACCTTTTAAGTTCCCTCAGATTAGCAGGATATTATGGGTTGATGGCAAAGAATTGCTGAAGGACCACTGCCTTGGTCAAGATCTGTTCCTGAGGCGACAGTGAGGCCCCTTGGACTTTATTTCAGAAGTTAAAAACAGCATAAGTAAAATTGGGCCATCCCATACATTTCATTTATGATTCAGCAGATATGTTTGGGATTTTTTTTCTGTGAGTTCTTTAGTTCTTCGTAGTTCTTTTATGATTGCTAAAGGAGACTGCCTTAGGTAATACCAGCTAGGAGTTTGAATGCTACAGGCTGGACATGTCTAGGCTGAAGGATTTTCTCCTCCACTCTTTCTGCAACTTATAGGATAGACTAGAAGGATGAAGTCAATATGTATGCAGTAGTTGGGCATCAATTTTTATGGATACTGTCACTAGAGAACAGACACTTCAGTGTCTGGCCTGACAGTTTTTGCTGCCTCCCATAGAAGATCCTACTCTCATTCAGGGATTACCTGGCCAAGACATCTCCTATGACAGAAATCTCCCCTAAAAATAAAATATCTCACTATAATTATCAGACATTCAGCTCAGATCTTTAAAGAAAAATATGAGAAGTGGAGGGAGGAAGATAGTAATCATGTAGTAGCTTTTAATTTATGCTTAGGGTATTACTGGTGGGGAGTAAGG